TGTAGTGATGGGTCCTCCTGGGTACAACAAGCTACAAACGACTAGGGGAGTTTGAGTGTCGCGAAGTCGAGAAGCTTCGCTTAGTCACTTTTTACAGTTTACTGGTAAGGAAGCTCTGATGGGGGCGATGTCGAGAAGCTCGATGGCTTCTCTCTCCCTCTAACACCACAAAGCGTTCCCCAGGTGAATGCTCTCTCTCCTTCCGTCTCTCCTTTCCTCTCTCTCCTTCTCGCTCTCCTTTCATATTTCGTTCCCTCTCTCCCTTTCTCTCTCCTTCGGTCTCCCTGTCCCTTTCTCTCCTTCTCCCCGATCATTCGCCTTCCGTTTCTCCTTCCCGTGCTCCTCCATGCTAAAGGCACGGAAACTTTTGAGTCGACTCAAAAGTCTCCCTGTGCTCGTTCACTTTCGTAGGTGCGGAAAGAAAGAATAAAGAGATAAAAATAAGGACCTGAGTGCGATGGTTTTCTAGGATTTTCATGAATTTACTCCCTTGTGTGTGTGCACAGGAACCTGCAGGGATTTTTTATAGGATTCTCAATAATTTTACTCCCTTGTGTGCGTGCACAGGAACCTGTTCAACAACTCGTTTGAAGGCTCTCTTGCCACCCTCTCGACACTCACTCGCCTCCAACACCTGTGGGACCCCCAACTCACCTCATTTCACCTTTTTCCAACACTCTCTTCACTTTCAGCACCTGTGATACCCTCCCCCGTCACCCGTTTCTCACTGGCCTGTGTGTGCCTGCGGGTTTGTGTGTGTGTGTGCATGTGCGTGTGCGCGTGTGTGTGTGTGTGCGTGTGTGCGTGCGTGCGTGCGTGCGTGCGTGCGTGCGTGCGCACATATGTGTGTGTTTTCCCGTCCCTGTTTCCTCTGTTCTCTCTGTTTTGTCTCTCTTCATCTCGGTTTGTTCCTAACAGGGACTTGGCAGTCAATAACATAGGACCACGCATACCATCCACTCTATCGCGCCTCTCCCTGCTCTCTTACCTGTACGAACGGCGCAGCACACACATGGCTGAAGGGTGCCGGGAAAAAAATACTTCTGAGCTAAGTCAGGAGTAGCATTCGTGTGAGGCTGCTGATGGGCTTATAGTGTGGGTGCAGCATTGCTGGTTGGCCTTATGATAGTTTCTGGAGCAGCACAACACTGCCCTGCCTGCTCCGTCTGCTTTGTCAGTTCAACTCAAATCTCTCCCTTCATCCACCCCTTTCTCTCTCCATTGGTTTATCTGGCACAAAAATACACACAGAAATAACAACATACAGCACACACAGGGATGCACGCATGCACCCACACACACAACAAACAGCTAACACACTCGCATAAATTCCCTCCATCTCAACAGCGATCTTGCCTACAATCGTCTGAGTGGCTCTATCGACCCCCTCACGGCACTCACTGCCCTGCAAGACCTGTCAGTATCCGTGTTCATGCTGCTTGCTGCTGCAACACACTCCTCCCACCCCACCATCCATCCATCCATCCATCCATCCATCCATCCATCCATCCATCCATCCATCCATCCATCCATCCATCCATCCATCCATCCATCCATCCATCCATCCATCCATCCATGCATCCATCCATCCATCCATCCATCCATCCATCCATCCATCCATCCATCCATCCATCCATCCATCCATCCATCCATCCATCCATCCATCCATCCATCCATCCATCCATCCATCCATCCATCCATCCATCCGTCCGTCCATGTGTCGCTGCGCTCTGGCTCCCTCTGCTGCATGCAGGACACTATACAACAGCGCTGTATCAGGCTCTTTTCCCGAGTCTATCTCACGCCTGTCTCGCCTAACTTTTCTGTAATCCATCCATGGAACTGCTATGCACTACCATACACTACCATGTACTAGCATACACTACCATGCACTACCATACACTACCATGCATGTGCATGGAAGGATGATAGGACGTGTTTGCAAGTTTTACTTTTTAACCATCTTCGTGTCTTTGAGACTTTTAGAAACCTGAAGCTTGACAGCAGAGCATGAGCTCCTTACTAGTGCCTTTTTCATGTCGCACACACCACTGAAAAACACACAGGCCAGCTTCGCAAATCAGGACCACCACTGCAGTGCCACCACACTCTCACCACCAGCACCAAACCATCCGATTGCCACACAATGCTTCGCACTGGTTGCTAGCCAGGCAAACACTGATTCGTCCTTAAATCGCTTATTCATCCTTCTCCCCACCCGCCTTGCCACTGCACCACCAGTCAGATTGGCAACACCAGCTTTACAGGCTCGCTTCCCGCATCCCTGGGCCAGATCACGGGTCTCATGAACTTGTGAGCTCAAATCCTTTGTGCTGCACCTGAACCACCCTTTTGAGATGTCAGAATTTCTCAAGGTGTTGAGTTTCCACAAGCAGCTGCACTGCACCAAGGTGCGCTCTCCCCAGGGCAAAACGCAGCTAAGGCAGCACCAAACAAACAAACAAACAGGGTACAAGCTTGCATCCAAGGGTTTAAAGTGGCGTATGCACCAGACCGGAAGGGACCCCCTACGTTCTCTCACTCCCTTCCCTACAACCTGTGAAGCCACCACCTGTTCTCCTTATAGCCTGCTGTGTGTCTCCTCTCCTCCCTCACCCCCAGGTACATGGATTACACAACAATGGTGGGCTCCGTGCCAGCATCCCTGGGTAACCTCACACGCCTTGTCGAATTGTAAGGCTCCTGCGCCTGTGCTGTGCCGTGCCGTGCCGTGCCGTGCCGTGCCGTGCCGTGCCGTGCCGTGCCGTGCCGTGCCGTGCCGTGCCGTGCCGTGCCGTGCCGCTGTGCTGTGCTCTACTTGTGCTTCCACTTGTGTCCTCGTTGTGCAGCCCTCCGCTTCTCTTTCAACTCGTCTCAAAAGTCCTCGTGCCCCTCTGTTCTTCCTTCTCCAATACCCACCTCCCACCAATCCCACTCCTCTCCTCTCAGCTATCCTCCACTCAGCTAACTCCCCTCCTCTCCCCTTCCCCCCCCTCCCCACCCCTCCCTCCCTCTAATCCTCCCTCACGGCCTGCCCCCTCCTCGTCTCGCCTCCCCTCCCTCCAGCTCGTTCCGGACCATCAGTGCAACGCAAGGCCCTAAGTGTGGCACAGAGGGAGCGTGTGTGGTGAATCAGAGTGCCGTCTCCGCCTTCTGTAACGCCTGCCCTGACTTCTGCCAGGCCTGCTCGCCCCCAGGCCTCTGCATTGGCTGCAAAGGTGCGTGAGAGCAGGGATGACCATGGGCTACGCGTCTGGTTTGGTCTAGGGTGTGTTGTGTGGGTGCGGTGGGGGGTCCCAGGGTTTTGTTTTCGGAAAGGCTGGTCTCAGAAATAGCAGCGTGCATGCAGGATGGTTGGTTAAATGCAGTGCAGGCTTAACTTCTTTGGACCGGCAGTGTCTTTGACGTATCTTCCCTCCCACACCAATCGCACACAACCCCTCCTCCCTTTTTACATGCCCCTCCCCTCCGCATGTCAGTGTCTGAACCCCAGACAGAGCTACCAGCGGGAAGAAGTGGAAATAACAACAGCAGCAGCAGCAGCGGCGGATTGTCGACGGGGGCAATCATCGGCATCGTGTGTGGGGTGGTGGTGCTGCTGCTCGCGCTGCTGCTCTCCGTCCTCTTCTTCCTCTACCGGAGGAAGAAGGTCTCTCGCTTCGGTAAGCTCTCTCGCTTGCTCTCTCGCTTCAGTAAGCTCTCTTGCTTCGGTAAGCTCTCGTGCTTCGGTACGCTCTCTTGCTTCGGTAAGCTCTCTTGCTCTGTAAGCTCTCTTGCTTCGGTAAGCTCTCTTGATTCGGAAAAAGTAGTGTGCAGGCAGGTACGGGGCGTTTCGATAGAACCTTGCTCCTCTTCATCCTGCAAGGAATGGCGGAAGTTACGCCAGCGTGCATTCTTGGAGCTACCGCACTGCTCTAGTCTCGCAGATTCTGCATATCCATACCAGAACTAGTGTAGGACCTTGCCTCCATGCTGCATTCACTCAAGGTCCAGGAGGGTGGTCACTTCACTGCACAGCTGTGTTCCCCAAGCACACTCCAAGCTGATGTGCTTCTTGGTTGTATTTTAAGAACCCAGATGCTGTTCTCTCTTAAAGCAAGGCAATGACGCATGGAACACTTGAGTGCACGATGCAGGAGCGTTGGCCAAGGGCGTGTGTGTGGAGTATACGATGAAGGAGATGCAGCAGGCGACCAACAACTGGGCGGACGAAAACCTGCTGGGGTCGGGGGGCTATGGCGACGTGTACAAGGGGGTGTCTCCGAATGATGGCAGCACGCTGTGGGCTGTGAAGCGCGCCAAAGTGATCACCAACGACTTCCAGCGGGAGGTGCGTGTGTGGGTGTGTGTGTGTGTGCGCGGTGCGCTGCCATGGCTTGAACGCGGGATGATTGTTGTCGGTCAGGTTTGCAGAGGGAGGTGTGTAGGCCGTCATGTTTCGAAAGCGAAAGGGTGTGCCATCTGATCTCGTCCCTCTCACTGCCCCAACAGGTGAGCGAGATGGCAACGAAGCACCACCCCAACCTGGTGCGCCTGCTGGGTTACGCCACGTGTGGGGACCTGCGGGAGCGCATCGAGCAGATCCTCGTCTACGAGTTCATTTCCAATGGCGACCTTGACAAGTGGCTCGGCAAAGGTGGGGGGAAGGCAGGTGGGGCAGGAAGTGTTTAAGATTCGAGAAGAGGGCGCTCCAACAGCCTCTTTCTACGAGCTCGTCTCCAATGGGGACCTGCACAAGTGGCTCAGTGCAGGTGGGGAGGAGGAGGAAGTGGGGGATTAAGGTGGGCGGGAAGTGTTCTAGACTCGAGGGGAGGGCACTCCAGCAGCCTGTTCCAGGTTCCTTTCATCCATCCACTTGTTCCACACATGGACGTCTCTCTCTCTCCCTCTCTCTTCAGACTCTTGTTTTCTCCACTCATCTCTGCTCTGTGCTCTTTTTGCACCTTGCTCTCCTCCTCTCCTTCCCCCTTCAATCTATGCGCGGCTGTGCAGACGCCCCCGCGCCCCTGACGTTGAAGCAGCGATTGGACGTGATAGTGGGAGCAGCGCGCGGGTTTGAGTACCTGCATGGCTTTGACATTGTGCATCGTGACATCAAACCCGCCAACATCCTGCTGGATAGCAACATGCAGGTGAGCAGTCAACAAGCAGCGGCACTGTCTGCTGTCCCTGCTCTCCTATATCTCTGACAACGTTTCCTACCTTTTGTCCATCCACCCATCCATCCCCGTCCATCCATCCATCCATCCATCCATGCACACACCCAACCACCCGTGCATGCCCTATCATCCCTCTCATCGCATCAGCCCAAGGTGGCTGATTTTGGTCTCGTGCGGGTGGAGGGGGGCACCACTGCGCAAGCCACGCGAGTGATGGGCACGCCGGGCTATGTGGACCCGGCTTACTCTCGCACACAGAAGGCCACTCCTGCGACCGATGTGTACAGGTGCTGATGTGTACAGGTGCTGATGTGTATAGTTCTGATGTGTACAGGTGCTGATGTTCTGATGTGTACAGGTGCTGATGTGTATAGTTCTGAGGTGTACAGGTGCTGATGTGTATAGTTCTGATGTGTACAGGTGCTGATGTGTATAGTTCTGATGTGTACAGGTGCTGATGTGCGCTGGCACACACAACCACGCCAGGTCCAGGCCTTGTCGCCACATGTGTTGCAAATGGCTCACCCGCTTGGTGAATGAGATGTACTTGCTTGTAATCTTGCATCTTTGCAACTCCTTGCCATTTATTTGCACCTGTCCGTGCATATGTTTTTGTGTGTGTGTGTGTGTGTGTGCGTGCGTGCATGCGTATGGCAGTTTTGGTATCCTCATGCTGGCAATGCTCACGGGCAGGCATGCCACGTTCGAGGAGGACAGCCGCTTATGGAACATTCTTGACTGGGTACGCACGCACACCTCTCTCCCCACTCATGGAGCATACGCTTCGCTCTCTTCCTTTCCCCCTTCTCCCTCTCCCCCCTTCTCATCTTCCCTCGAGTTTGCCTCTGGGCTGCTCCCACTCTGTCCCACCTCCAACCCCCACCCCCCCCTCCCCTTCCCCCCCCCTCCCTCCCCCTTCTCCGCCCACACCCACAGGTTCAGGAGAAGCTGGGCCAGGGGTCACTGGAGGAAATTGCAGACCCTCGCATGGGCCCCGTCCCTCCAGACGCCCTGCAGCGCATGGCTGATCTGGCGGTGCGCTGCTGTGGCACCTTCACTGCAGAACGACCTTCCATGGGGCGCATTGCCCAGGAGATGGAGGCGTTGCGGACTGAGGTGGGCGGTGCAGAGGAGCAGGTGCACAACAAGTCTTACATGAAGGTGGATGCTGAGCTCCGGGAGAAGATGCTGTATCAGAGTCAGATTAGCGAGGACAATTTGAACGACGTGCTCGCCTCGATTCCCTCGGAGAGAGTAGCAGGAGGGACATGGGGAGTATGAGGGAGACAGAGGGCATGTGGGATCAGGTACGCTTGGGCGTTTGAGTGAAGGGAAGGGAGAGGTGTAGGCCCTTGAACGATCAATGCGCCATATGTTGGGTGTGCTGCTGGCATGGTCGAGATCAAGGACATATCCATGTCCTCTTACCCTTGCGTGCTGCTTAAATCCTGCATCCGATTTGACTGCTGTCATATCTATGCAAGGGTGGGTGAAGGAACATAAACTTCTAGAATGAATTAATTATAATTTTATTTGTTCTGCATTGTAAATGAGCCACATTATCTCAATGGATGCTGTAATTCAGTGTGACTCGGACCAAATCCATGCCTGCCCACAAGCACGTTGACTGCTACGAAGCGATTCGCTATGAAGCCCTGTGAGGCTCGGCTGGATGACATCAAGCCACACAACCGCGAGCCGTACCTTGTCCAAAGCTGGTTTGGCTGAAGTTCGAGGCTCGGATCATAAACATTATCAGCTGAGTACACCGCATGCCCAAACAAGCCGCGGCCCTCGCACGACGGGGTTCCCAGGCACGTCGAGTGGAGAGATATGGCAGAGAGGAGAGGAGAGGTGAGGGGAGGAGAGATGCGGAGTGTGCCACAAGCAGCGATCCCATCCCACGCCAAAGCCATAACTTCTAGGGTGTACGGCTTCGCCCTCCCACCGCCTTCCTCTCTCGGCCTCGATTTCTCCTTCCTCGATTTGTCTGCTCATATGGACCAGCACTACCTACTGAGAATGCACTCACCTACCACACAGAGAGGAGTTTAGGGTGCGCTGACACGATAGTAGGGTTGTCTCCAGCCAACTAGCTTCCTTTCAGCTTAGCTAGTCCTTTATTACGCAGTGGAATTATGGACGGGTACATTATTGTCTGCATCTCAGCTTGTCCGTGTGCTCTGAGCCAGTCAGTTTCACCACTGTTATCATTAATGCGTTAGTGCATTGCGCTCTCTCCTTCGCCACGTGTATTTAAATATAATAACTCCTCCTATAATTCTCCTGATAACTTCAGTAATCTGAAGTCGTGGCACATTCTTCAATTCTAAATGCATACCTTCCGCTTCCTGTAGGTCTCGGGCCTCACCATGTGCAATAGAGCGACGCCGAAGCTCTCAGCCCGTCGTTTGTCAACCACTGAAATTCCCACACGCATCACCAGCAGCAGCAGCAGCAGCAGCTGCAGCAGCAGCAGCAGCAGCAGCACCACCATTTATAGCAGACGCGGCGTCGTCCGCGCAGTAGTAGTCGCGCGTCAGCTCATCATACCGTGAGAAATCCCGCATGGCCTCGACAGGCCAGGGCGCTCCTCCGGGGCCTTCTGGCGGACAGTCAAGACCAGCGCCGCGCAAGCCCGCACCCGATGGCGCGGGGGGGGCAGGAACGGCGCGGAAGCATAGCGGTAGCGTCGGCGGCGGTGGCGCGGGGGGGGACCCTAGCCGAGCTATCAACCGACAGCATTCCGCTAGGTCGACAGTCTCCAGTGAGGAATCGGAGGGCGGAGAAGGCTCCACCGTCAGATCAACGGCTGGGGACGGTGGCGGTGCGGCAGGGGTTAAGTCAGACAATGCTTCCGAGCCGCCCACTCCTAGAGGGAGTAGCAAAGGCGGCGGAGAGAGTAAAAAGCCTAAGACTTTCACGAGGATGCTGTCTAAGAAGGGCGGCAGTTCAAGCGGCACCGGGACGGCGACGAACGCCAGTGGTGGTAGCAGCAGCGGACGGCACAGAAGCGGCTCAGGAATCCCCTCCGGAGCACCTCACCCACACCCACCAGCAGGTGCTGCAGCAGCAGCAGCAGCAGCGGCGGCGACTGCGGCGGCGTCGACAGCATCGGCGGAAGCGGCGGCGGCGGGTTACAGCAGCGACGCGTCAGTAGCCAGCAAGTCGTCCGGAAGATCGGGGGCGGTGAAGAGATCCGCGGCTGTGAGCATGGTGCGGCGATCGACGGGCGTGATGCTGGTGATGGACCCGTGGACGGCCAAGATCTTGCACGTGAGCGAGGGGGGAATCACGGCGCTAGGGTACAGCAAGGCGGAGCTGAGGGAGCGCACGATCTGCGACTTGGCGGATGGGCTGACTCTCGTGGAGTGGTCCAAAGCCATTGGCGGACTCGCCAGTCAGGAGGCGAGAAGGGTGGTGCTTAGGTAAGTGTCGATGTGAACGTCGTCGATTTCAACCATTTTCATCTGTTACCCTGCGTAAATCACGGTGGTGTAGACTTGGGTTTGTACCCCATGCGCGGATGGGGACCCTGGGGTGAAATACGCATATTCTAAGAATACTCTGACAGGTGCTTTATTCTTGCCAGGTTTATGTTGAGCTTTGCCATCCAAACCAAACATCCTCTTTTCTCGCCATCCTCATGCGCAGGTTCCGTCTGTGCAAGACAGCGGAGCGCAAGGCCACTTTGTTGGGGCAGAAGGTAGACCTGGAGTTACAGCTGCATGGCGCCGGCGAGAACAAAGACCTTGTGGGTACCATGACGCTCGCTAACCCGGACCTTACTTCTTCCCGGCACGCTGGCAGCAGCAGTAGCAGCAGCAGTTCCTCTCACCACCACCAGCACAAGGAGAAAGGGGCTTCCGGTGGTGCAGGGAAGGAGGGCTCCGCTGCAGCTCCTGCTGCTGCTGGTGCTTCAGCTGCGGCTGGTGCCGCGGCTGGTAATGCCACTGGGGGAAAGGAGGGAGCGGCGAAAGGGGCGACGAGTGGCGATGCTGGTGCCTCTGGTGGTGCGTCTGCTGCTGGTGCGTCAGGCTTAGCAGGCAAGGCCAGACGACCTGGGGGTGATAGGCCCGGCAGCGGCGCAGTCAATAGGAGTGGGAGTGTTAGTGGTGGTGGTGGTGCTGCTGGTGCTGCGTCGCCGTCCCAGCAGAGGAGAGAGAGAGTGCCAGGGAGGGAGAAACCGGATGGAGCTGCGAGCAGGGCTGCTGCTGATGGTAGTGGCAGCAGTGGGGCCAGCAGCACCGTTGCAGCTGCGACGGCAGCAGGGGCAGCTTCGGGAGCAGGGGATGGCAAAGAGAAGGAGAAAGATGCGGCGAGAGTGAGCAGGGATAAGGAGAGAGAGAGGCGAGTGAAGGAGAAGGAGGAGAAGGGGAGGAGTGCGGGGAGTAGGGACAAGGAGCGGAAGGCAACGGAGGGGGAGGGGAAAGGGGAGGACGGCGGGGAGAGTACTGCATCTGAAAGTAGGGAAGGCGAGGCAGCGAGCAGCGGCAGACGCCCTAGCAGCAGCACCACAGGAGGAGTTGCAGGGAGTGGGGGCTCGGCTGGGGGGGCGGGGACAGCAGCAGCCGGTGCTAGCAGTGTGAGTGGCGTGAAGAAAGCACCAGTAGTGCGGATACCGTCTGGGGAGAACAGCAAGGGGAGTGAGGTGGGTACGCCTACGAAGCGGCGCAGCAGCAGCAAGAGAGCGTCAGAGCTCAGTGGTGCTGGCGCTGAAGGTGCGGTGAGCAGCCCCAGAACCCCCACTGGCTCCCGCTCCCGCTTCTCCTCCTCTTCCTCTGTCCCTTCCGCGGGTGCTGCTGGGAGCGCGGGGGCGCGGGAAGCAGGCGCAGGCGCGGAAGGGGACGCGGGGGTGAAGAAGCCTGGCAGACTGGCGACCGCTGGAGGGCCTGGGGCGCGGGGAATGGGGAGAGCGGAGAGCACCGGTGGTGCTGGCGCGAAAGGGGCGCAGAAAAAGGGGGTGGGCGGAGGTGAAGAGATGGGAGGAGGGGAGGGGGTTGGGGGAGTGGAAGGGGCAGGGGAAGGAGAGATGGGGATGGGGGAGGAGGAGGATTTGATGGATGATATGTATAGCCCGGTGCATGGGGGGCAAGGCGGGGGAATGGGCATGGATGAGGGTATGGGCATGGAGATGGGCATGGGGATGGGCATGGAAGGGTACGAGGGAGGGGATGGCATGATGCACGATGGGGGAATGGGCATGGGAGGCATGGGGGGTCATGTGCACGATGATGAGGATGATGATGATGACGATGATGATGATTATGATGATTCTACGATCATGGCAAAGCCTCTTAACACGATGGATGGAGGTGGGGGGATGATGGGGGCAGGTGGCGGGCCTATGGGTGCTGGGGGGCATATGGGCATGGGGCCCCATGGGTACATGGGCATGGGGATGGGCGGTGGTATGGGCATGGGCGGAGGCATGGGAATGGGCATGGGGATGGGTATGGATGGGATGGGCATGGGCATGGGCATGGAGGCTATGAATATGGGGATGGGTATGGATGGCATGGGAATGGGCATGGGCATGGGTATGGGCGGAATGGGCATGGGAATGAACCCAGGGATGATGGGTATGGGGCCAGGAGGGATGAACATGATGGGAGGCGGTATGGGGATGGGTGGGGGAGGTATGGGCATGGGGGTAGGCATGGGTCCAGGAGGAGTGGGACCAGCAGGCATGGTAGCAGGAATGGTGGCCGGGATGCCTCTTCCCGGGCCTGCTGGCTTGGCTCGGCAGCAGCAGCAGCGGAGGGGGACCTATAGGGAAGAGCAGATGAGTCATGATAGCATAGTCTTGGCTCCTATTTTGCATTCTCCACGGATGGGCATGGGAATGACAGGCATGGGTATGGGGCAGATGATGGGAGGTGAAGAGGAGGACCATGAGGACGATGAGGACTTGTATGGTGGCGGAGGGGGGAGGGAGGAGGAGGAAGAGGAGGGGTTAGGATTAGAGGAGGACGACGGTGGGATAGATTTGTACAGCCCTGCTTCACGCGCCTCCCGTGCTTCTCGCAGTGGAGGGGCAGGTGCAAGGAGGAAGGCGGATGCTGCTACCATGGCTGCTGTGACGGAATCCGTTCTTGCTCTCAACAGGTGTCACTGCTCTTTCTGCAATCTCCCTTCTCCTCTTCTTTCACCCCTCACCCCGTTCTCTCCTCCCTCGCACTCTCCTGCTCCATTCCCAATTTATTTCCCACCCCCAGAACAATCAAAATACCACTTCCTGTTTTTTCTCCCACCCTTTCTCACATCTCTTCATCCTTTCTCCTCCCTCCGCCCTGCACCCCGGCCTCCGCCCCCCTACTCCTCCCCCGCCCCGCACCCGCCCGCCCTCCGCCCCCCCACTGTTCCCCCTCCCCATCCCCTTGTCTGCCAATGACGAGCAGGGTGCTGATGGATGCAGCAGGGTTGGGAACGGTGACGCTGGTGGCAGCAACACGCACTGTGGCAGTGAGCAACGAGGGCATGGCGGCCATGCTGGGGCGCGCCAGGGCGGACGTGGACGGCCACTGCTTTGCGGACCTTGTGGTTGATGCTGACCGACCCAAATTCGAGGTGCCTGGGGGCAGCAGACGGTTGCAGTGCTCTGCGAGGATGGGGATTGTTGGCAGGAAAAAGGGGAGGGAATGGGAAGGGGAGAGGGAAAGGAGAAGGGGAATGGGGAAGGGGCGTGTTAGGGTGTGTTAAAACTTTCTTTTTTTGTTCTTCCCTCCGTCTGTGACCTTTTGCACTAATCATGATGTTAACTCCCCCTGGACACTCACATCCTCGCCCTCCGTTACTTCACCGTCGTGATCCCGCTCTTGCTGCCCCAACAGGCCTGGTTGGATCGAGTGTGCAAGAAGCCTGAGGAGGACCAAAGTTCTGCCTCTGCTACTGCCGACTCTGCAGAAGCAGGGAAAGCAGAGACGGCGGTGCCTGATGGTCAAGGAGATAGCGCAATGGAAATGCTTGGCACTGCTGCTGCTGCCCCTGCTGCTGCTGATGGTGCTGCTGGCAAGGACGGTGGCGCAGTTCTGGCAGGAGAAGGAGCAGAAGCAGCAGCGGGCGGAACAACAGGACCAGAGGCAGCAGCAGCAGCAGCAGCAGCAGCAGCAGACGAGGTAGGAAAGGAGGGAGGAAGTGCAGGAACAGGGGCAACAGCAGCAGGAGCAGCAGCAGTGGCGGCAGAGGCAGCAGTAGGGCAGGGGAGGGATTGTTTGGAGGTGCGGATGCAGCACAAGCTGGGAGGGTCTGTGCGTGTGCGTATGACTGCTGCTCTGCCACCACCACCACCAGCAGCTCCTGACACACAAGCTGCTGCCCACCAGGACAGTCACAATGATACCGCAGACGCTGCTACAGCTGCTTCTACCACTGCTGCTGCCGCCGCTGCTGCTGGTGGTGCTGCTGCTGCTGTGACTGCTGGTGGGAAGGGCGGCAGTGGTGGAGGGGGGGTGTTGCCGGAAGTGGTGGCGCTGCTGGTGCATGACATCACGGGGTGCTGCCGGCATGGTGAGGAGATGAGGGAGGCCAAGCAGGCAGTGCAGGAGGCAGCAGTGGAGGGCAACAAGGAGTTTGCTCGCATTGTGTGCCGGGAGGTCGGCACTGCTATCAATGGTAACCCTCCTCTTTCTCCTCTCCCTCTTCCCTCTCCCTTCTTCCCTCTCCTCCCTGACTCACATCCACTCCTCCTCCCTTCCCTGCCAACCCCTTGACTCACCTCTCCTTCCTCCGTGCCTCCTTCTCTCTCCCGCTCTCTCCTTCTCCCCCTCTCCCCTTCTCCCTTTCTCCCTTTCTCCCCTTCTCCCCCCACCAGGCGTGGTGGGAATAGCGGATCTGCTACTGGACACGGACCTAGCAGGCGAGCAGCGCATATTCATGGAGCTCATTCTCGCCACGTCCTCCAACCTGCACACCGTGCTCTCCAACCTGCTCCTCTCCGCCGCCACCCACCCGCCGCTGCCCGGCGCTGGGGGCTTCTCCAAGCCCTCGCTGCACCTCGCCACACAGGACGTGGACCTGCACCGCCAGGTGAGACGCGGGGTGGGTGCGAGAGGAGGGGCGGTTGGAGGGGAGGGGAGTGGGTGCAGGCTCGGTCTTGGGATTATCTCGCTGGGGGGCTCTCCAAGCTCTCGCTGCACCTCGCCACACAGGACGTGGACCTGCACCGCCAGGTGAGACGCGGGGTGGGTGCGAGAGGAGGGGCGGTTGGAGGGGAGGGGAGTGGGTGCAGGCTCGGTCTTGGGATTATCTCGCTGGGGGGCTCTCCAAGCTCTCGTTGCATGGTCCTTATCAACCGATTTTGATGTGTGGCATGGCATGTGTGCAATTGTGCATCTGTGTGCGTGTGTGTTCATGTGTGCACGTGCGTGTATGTGTGTGTGTGTGTGTATGTGGGTGTGTGCGTGCATCCTTGTGCGTGCATCCATGTGCGTGCATTGCATGGCATCAGGTGCGGGAGTGTGTGCGGCTGGTGGACGTGGTGGCAAAGGAGAAGGGACTGGCGCTCATGTGTGGGATAGACTCAGCGGTGCCACGCATGGTGGTCACGGATGCAGTGCGCCTCAGACAAGTGCTCATGAACCTGCTCTTCAACGCCCTCCACAACACCAACCGGTCTCAACCTCACATCACCACTCCTCCCCCTCTCCTTCCGCCTCCCCCTCTCCCTTCCTCACCCGCTCACTCTCCCCCTCACCCTCCCACGCACCCTCCCCCTCCCCATCCCCCTCTCCCTCCCCCTCCCCATCCCACTCACCCTTCCCTTCCCTCTCCCGTTTCTCCCTCTTCCTTGTTGCTGCATGCCTTATTACTTCCTGCTTGAGATTTTCTTTCAGCGGTTGTCCCAGCCTCATGATGATCCTACTCGTGCCCACCTTTCCTTTCCATGCCTGTCCCCAGATTGATCCCCTGTGTCGTCCACTCCACCCCTGCCCACACCTCGTTTGCATGCCATGCCATCATACCCCAACCTTATTCTCCATTATCGCAATTGCCAATGCCCTAATCAACTCCACCTCTCCCCTCCCTCTTCCTTCCTCTCTTTTCCCTCCTCGCGCTTCCCTTCTCGCTCCTCCCTCTGCCCCTGCTTCTCCCCAACCCCCACCCCACTGCACGCACCAGGGGCGACATCACAGTGAGTCTGCGTCTGGCGTCGCGGTACGAGAGGGAGCAGGTGCAGGAGCGGCGCAGGGAGCACAAGGCGCAGCAGCGCGCCCTCCTCGGCCCCGCCGCTGCCTCCGCTGCCGCTGATGAAGATGACGAGGAGGAGGGGGACAGTGCGGGCGCGCTGCTGCTGCGCTTTGAAGTGCGGGACTCGGGGACAGGCATGCCGCCTGCTATCAGAGACGAGCTCACTGCCATGTTCGCCTCTGTGAGTGCACTGCACTGCATTGCACTACCCTGCACCTTCCTGGCCGTCTGTCTACTGGGACGACTCTATAACAGACTGTGTTTCGGGCATGCCAGCTGTTACCACAGACAAGCTCATTGCCGGGCTGTTTGCTTCCGTGAGTGTGCCTTGCTGGCCTGCGGTTTCCCATTCTCCATTGCATTTCTCTACCCGTCTTGGCCTCATATCCTCCCTCCCGTTTTTCCCACTTCTTCCCTCTTCATCCCCGCCCCCGCTCTCCCCCTTTTCTGCCCCGCGCGCAGACCCTCCCAGCGGAGTCAGTGAGCGGAGTGAGGGGCACGGGCCTGGTAATGGTGAAGAACCTGCTGGACATGTTTGGCGGCTTCCTGCGCCTTGACAGTGACGAGCACCGTGGGTCATCCATGGTCTTCTTTGTGCGCGTGGCCATTCCCGAGGTCATGCTCACGCCCGCCCAGCTCAGCCCCCACGAGCCCCCGGACATGGCGCTCTGGCGCAGACTGGCAGACATCCGTGTGCTGCTCGTTGATGTGAGTCCTGCTGCTGCTATCTTTTAAGAGGTCTCAAAAGTCTGTGCAGACTGGCAGACATCCGCGTGCTGCTCGTCGACGTGAGTCCTCCTGCCTACCCTGCCCCTTCCCCATCCTTCTGCCTAGCTCCACATTATACTGAAGCCAAGAAAATGCTATCATCCATCCATGCACGTTCTTTCTATCCTGATTTTCCGTCCGTGGGTCTGTCTGTCTGTCTGTCCATCGAGAAACGCATTGGTCTGTTCATCCGTCCATCCACCTGTTCATCTATCCGTCCATATTCCCATCCTAAAACGTAAGAGCATGTATCCCTGTATCCGTATCTTCATGGCTCTGTGCCTGTGGGCTGTCGCTGGCTGCATGCATGCGTGGCTGAGAATGAATGACTGATTGAATTGAATGCATGTGTTTGTGCGTGCAAACGTGTGCATGAATGAATGTGCGTCCGTGTGTGCGTGCACGTGTGGTGGTGGCAGGAGGACAAGATGAGTGAGATGATAGCATCCAGTGTGTTCCGTCACCTGGGTCTCCCCATGGACACAGCCCACACTGCCATGGATGCTGCATCGCTCTGCCACAAGTACAAATACGACCTCATCCTCATTGTAAGCCGCCTCGTTTCTACGAACTGTTACAAGCAAATGCCGCGGTTTTCATTCCAAGGGCTGCAGTCTCTCGGGAGTGGACAGTTTTGTCACGGCGAGTGATGACGGAATCCCCAAGTCCTCTCAACTTTATCCCTCCCCCCCCCCCCCCCCACTGCTCCTTCAATCCCCTCCTTCCCACCAGGACTGCAACCTGTCGGGCATGGACGGGTTTGACACGGCGAGGCTGCTGAGGGCGCAGGAGAAGGAGGGAGTGGGGCGAGCGGGCGTGTACGAGCGCAGCTGCATGGTGGCGCTCACGCCCGGGCTCACCACGAGCAGCGACGAGGAGCAGCAGTGCACGCGTGCCGGCATGGACTGCTTCATCCCCAAGCCCGTGCGCCTCAAGGACCTGCAGATGGTCATCAGGTGAGGGCAGGCCTGCAGATGGTCATCAGGTGAGGGCAGGCCTGCAGATGGTCATCAGGTGAGGGCAGGCCTGCAGATGGTCATCAGGTGAGCAGGGTCAGGGCCTCTTTTGGGTTGCCTCAAAAGTGCACGCGTGCCGGCATGGACTACTTCATCCCCAAGCCCGTTCGCCTCAAGGACCTGCAGATGGCTGTCAGGTGAGGGCAGGCCTGTGAGATGGCTGTCAGGTGAGGGCAGGCCTGTGAGATGGCTGTCAGGTGAGGGCAGGCCTGTGAGATGGCTGTCAGGTGAGGGCAGGCCTGTGAGATGGCTGTCAGGTGAGGGCAGGCCTGTGAGATGGCTGTCAGGTGAGGGCAGGCCTGTGAGATGGTTATTAGGTGAGGGGAGGCCTGTGAGATGGTTATTAGGTGAGGGGAGGCCTGTGAGATGGTTATTAGGTGAGGGGAGGCCTGTGAGATGGTTATTAGGTGAGGGGAGGCCTGTGAGATGGTTATTAGGTGAGGGGAGGCCTGTGAGATGGTTATTAGGTGAGGGGAGGCCTGTGAGATGGTTGTTAGGTGAGGGGAGGCCTGTGAGATGGTTATTAGGTGAGGGGAGGCCTGTGAGATGGTTGTTAGGTGAGGGGAGGCCTGTGAGATGGTTATTAGGTGAGGGCAGGCCTGTGAGATGGTCGTCAGGCGAACAGGGTCTGGGCCTCATGAAACCTGGAGATGCAGCCTATCCTTTTTGCATGCGTGCATTTGCGCAGCTGTTTCTCTGCAGCCCACCGTTGCTCTCTCTCCCTTTCTCTTTCCCCATCTCCTCCCTTCCCCCGCGACTCCTGCCTCTCGCTTCCCCACGCACACCATCCCATGCACGCCACGCACATGCAGGGAACGCCTGGACAAGCTGGACACAGGTTCGCGGTCCTCGTTCTCAGGCCCCTGCACGCTTGTGCAGTTCTGCTCCGTGGACGACGACGACGACGACGATGGGCACAGGGACGAGCGGCAGCAGGAGGAGGAGGAAGAGGGGCGTGGCCGCAAGTCAAAGGCCGGCCGTCGCAAGCGCGCGCAGCGCAGGCGCTCCCGCAGCAGCGGTTCAAGCCACACCGAGGATGATGATGAGGGAGATGAGACAGAGAGCGACCATCCCGGGGACAGCACCACGCCGTCTCTCACTCCAGAGGCCACCACGCCCGTGTCAGCTGCCATGGCTGCTGCCATGGAACTCCAGCTCCCCCCCGAGGAAGCCCATGCGCTGGTGGCGGCTGCTGTTGCTGCCTCCTCCTCCTCCTCCTCCTCTGGCTTCTCTGGCCTTCCTCCCAACCCGCTTCGGCCCACGGGAAGCCTTCGCACCACAGGCAGCCTGAGGCCTCAGCCAGGATCCAGGGACATGCGGTCCGCTCTAGGCCGAGGGAGGGAGGGCGGGTCGGGGATGCTGAGGAGAGGGCGGGAGGGCGGATCGGGGTCCCTGGCGTTTTCTGCAGGAGGCGGTGGTGGGTTGGGGGGTTCTGGGTCTTCCCCTAAAAGGGTTGGCAGTGGCGGGAGAGGAGGAGAAGGGTTGGTGGGCACGGGGAGTGGCCGCAGAGAGGATATTTACAGTCTGATAATGTCTCAGAAGGTTAATCAGGATGACGAGAAGGTGCAGCGGCGAGGGTCGGGGCTGCAGAAGGGGGGGAGTGGGAGCAGGAGTGATAGTGGTGGGAGCGGGAGCGTGGGTCGCGGTGGGAGTGGGAGGAGGAGCAGTAGACTGGGTAGGGTAGGGGATAGCCGTAGCGGCAGGGACAGCAGGGGGAGCAGGGGAGGACGGAGGAGTATCAGCGGGAGTAGGAGTCGCAGCCACAGCCGCAGCAGTGGGAGGAGTAGCAGGAGCAGGAGTAGCAGGAGCAGAAGCGGGAGCAGGAGCAGGGGCGGGAGTCGCAGTGGCAGTGGGAGTGGGAGTGACAGGAGGAGGCGGAGGGGAGGGGGGAGACGAGGAGGGAAGGGCGGGCGTGGGAGTGCAAGTGCGAGTGCGAGTGGTGGTGATGATGATGATGATAATGACTCGGTTGTTGAAGTGACAGACCCAAACAGACTCACTGGGAGGCGGTCGGAACTTAAAGCGTTTCTGGATGATGCTGAAGATGATGGGGGCAAGGGAATTAGCAAGAGGAGCTCGGATGTGAGTGGGCTGAGGGCTCTGGGGAAGAGAGAGAGCACGAGCGCTCAGTGGAAGGACGGGCGGGACGTGAAGGAGCGCGAGGGGAGTAAGAGCTTTGGAAAGAAGGTGGAAGTGGAGGAAGAGGATGAGGATGGGGATGGGGATGGGGATGGGGCAGGGGGTGGTGTGACGGGTGGGGAGGATGATGAGATCAGGGACGAGCTGAGGGAAGCAGGCAAGGGGCATGTGAAGCAGAAGTCGTCCATGACTGGGCTTACCATGGACCAGATCTGGGCTCGCATGATGAACAAACCTGCAGCCATTGCGGAAGGGGGCAAGGGGGACGAGGACGAGGACGAGAGGGGGAGTTTGTCTGGTTCGGACAGGAGCAGGGGCGGGAGAGGCAGGAGGGGTGGTAGGCGGGGTGGCAGGGATGGGGATAGCGACAGGAGCAGGGAACGGGGGCGAGGAGACAGCAGGGGGAGTAGGGATGACAGTAGGGAGCGAGGGAGGGATAGGAGTAGGGAGAGGGATTGGGACAGAGACCGGGATTGGGATAGTGATGGGGATAGTGATAGGGACAGAGATAGGGGCTGGAGAGGACGTAGGGGCGGGGAGAGAGACAGAGATAGGGACAGTGACTGGGATAGTGATAGGGAAGGGAGGGGAAGGGGTAGTGATTCTGATAGTGAGAAGGGAGGGCGAGGGAAGAGGAGAGGAGGGAGGAAGGGGTCAGGAGGAGGGAGTGGAAGCGACAAGGATAGGGACGAGGAGAGGAGAAGGGACGGCAGGAGGCGAAGCAGGAGCAGGAGCTCTGGCAGAAGAAGCTCTAGAAGCGGGAGCGACGAGGAGGAGAGGGAGAGGAGACAGGAGTTGAAGAAGCAGGACAGCGATGGGAGCGACGGGGAGCTGTTGCCAGGGCTGGCAGAGGCGGCGGCGGCAGCAGCGGCTGGTACGCTGGTGAGCACACCAAGCCTGGGGCGGCTGGTGCATGAGAAGGAGGTGGAGATGGCTCGGAACCTCAAGACTCTGGATGAAGATGATGACAATGACAATGACAATGACAATGATGATGACGATGATATGGATGGGGAGGCCGGTGCTCCGCCGGCTGCTGCTGCTGCTGCTGCTGCTGCCGCTGCTGCTGCTGCTGCTGCTGCTGCTGCTGCTGCTGCTGCTGCTGCTGCTGCTGCTGCTGCTGCTGCTGCTGCTGCTGCTGCTGCTGCTGCTGCTGCTGCTGCCACTGCTGCTCCTGCTGCTGCTGGTGCGGGTGATTCTGCTGCTGGCGCTGCCGATGCTTCTGTGCAGCCATCTGTGCTGGCAGCAGACAAGGAAGGTGACAGTGCAGGTGACGTTCCCTCAGAAACAGCTGCTGGCAAGGAAGGGGCTGCAGCAGCTGCCGCTGCTGTTGCTGCTACTGGTGGCGATGGTGCTGGTGTGACAGCAACAGCAACAGCAACAGCAACAGCCCAAGGTGGAGGTGATGGGGAGGATGGTGTGGACGATGATGACGATGGGGAGAGCGACAGCGACGGCGAGGAGGAAGCAGCTGACGGCAGCCCGACGCTGGGGCGAACGTTCACAGTGAAGGCATCGGGGGACCGCATTCGGCAGCTGCTGCGCAGCCAGACCACGGACCGCGTGGCGGGGAAGAAGAGCCAGCAGGAGGGCGACAGCAGGGAGCCGGCACTCGTTAGAAGCAAGACCGCTGGGACCACCGTTCCCGTGCACCTGCAAGGCCAGGGGGTGATTGGCAGGGTGGGCAGCGCTGCTGGTGGTGCTGGTGGTGGTGGCTTGGGGGTTGGGCGCACGGGCAGCATGGGTGGCAGCAGGCTGGGTGTAAGCTCGTTTGGAGTGCCGGAGGGTGGGGGTCGGTTTGACGTGGCTTCAGCTGCTGCAGCGGCAGTTGCTGCTGTGCCTGGTGGGGCGCAGCCGTTGCTTGGCCCTGCTGCTGCTGTGGGGGCTGGAGCAGTGGCAGGTGATGCCCCCTCCTCCACTGCTGGGAGCGCAGCGGATGGAAGGCAGGGCGCGGAGGCAGCAGGAGCAGGAGCAGGAGCAGGGTCGGATGGGGAGGAGTTGTCGGAGGACGAGGGGATGGCGTGGGAGCGCGAGGTGAGGGAGGGGAGGGGTGGCTCGGGTCGGCATATGGATGAGGAGTTGCCGCTTGGGTGGGGCATGAAGGACCGCCTGGGCGGGCCCCGGGGAAGCTACCATGAGAGGGAAGAGGGGGTTGATGGAGAGGATGAGGAGGGGGAGGAAGAGGATGAGGATGGGGAGGAGGAGGAGGATGAGGAGGAGATGGATATTGAAGAGGAGATTGCACTGGCTAGGGTTGCGGCATCGGAGAGCTTGAACAGGAGAAAGGCAGCGCAGATGCTAGGGGAGCTAGGGCCGCGGGGAGGTGATGGTGCTGCAGACACGGGGTGATGGCATGGGAAGGGAGAGAGTGTGTGAACGAGAGGGCTGCAGATGGGTGCGGGGCAGTACCAGGGGTTGCATGTGCATGTGCATGTGCGCGTGCAAGGAATTGCATGTGCATGTGCGTGTGTGGCTTGGTCCGAGACGCCTGTGTCACTGATGGTGCAGCAAAGCCACAGGTGCTGCTGCTGCTGCTGCTGCTACGCCCTTCCGGGCTGTTGTTGCTGCGAGCCCTCTGCGTCATTGTATTCCTCTCATCCCGGCTCCACGGTCTCCCAGGCCGTCTCTGCTGCTCGTCTGCATGTCCCCCTCCTCTTCCCAACAGCCCCTTCCCTTGTGTAGGTAAAGAACAAGATGTTGCCCAGCAGAACAAGAACAAGATGTACATGACATGAAACCAGATGTGGCATGAGACATGGCAGGCATGTTACGTGCACGGGGATCACTGCGGCCTGCCTTGTGCTTTAGTTGGGATGGGATCATGTGCTGCTTGTGTCTGGCCAGGCCAGCTGTTGTGTGTAGTGTAGTACTAGCAGGTGGCTGCTGACATAATAATGCCATTTACTGGCATGTAGGGTATTATGGCACAAGGTGGCAGGTCTGCTGCAGCGTAGATCAGTAGATTACAGTAGGCCAACGAACGTAAGTAGTGGATTATGGTACTTTCACATGGTGGCACGAGTCCGTACGTAAAGCAGTCCATCTAATGAGAGGTCAGCAGAAATGCATGCTGCTATTGGCACAGCACCGTCACTAGCACCAATAGCCACACACCGTTTCTGTCCCAACTGAATGCTAACGCCCAGGTCAACTCGAGTCTGGTATCGGTACCTCTGGCAACAAACAATGCATAGCTGCCTGTTGTATCTTGAAGCCTGGAATACCCCTATGCATGGCCCATTCGCCTCATGTCCCAGTCACAAGGCACGTAGGACAAGGAAAACAGGGAGATGCCTCAGCAAAACACTACCGTATCATCTTTTACCAACTCACACTACTGTACTCCCACCTTTCCTCCCCCAAACCCCAACCCGCCCCCGCACACCCCCCCCTACAAATCCTTCCCCTTAACCTCAACCGGCCTCTCAACCTCCTCCCGTGGCTCCTCCTCCATCTGCACGAACAGGCTCGCATGCGGGTGCAGCCCCGCCTCGTGCAGCGTCTTGCAGCGCGAGGCAGCGTCGTACACAGTGCGGGGGAAGTTGGAGACGAGCAGGTAGTGGTGCGACGGCAGCAGTGAACCCAGCGCCTCCGAGTCCACGTAGTCGTAGAGTGCTTGCACGCTGTCTCTGGAGAGGAACCGCCGCTCCTTGCGCTCGCCCCCTGGCATGCGGATCAGCACCTGCCCAGGAGGTGATGGGTAGGGTGGGGTGGGGTGGGTGAGGTGGGCGTATGTGGTTGAGACGGAATGGAATGGGGTGGGGTGGCGTGGTTGGCATGGAGTGAGGTGGGGTGGGATGGGATGGGGTTGGGTGGGGTGGTATGCGGTTAGGTCGGGTGGGGTGATAGGGGTGAGATGTTGTGGGATAGGAAGGATGACCCTATCACACGCCCCCTTGCAAGGTTTCACACCTGAGTAGTGTCTAGGCATCTAGCTGTAAGAACGTAGTCCACTCAAACTAGTGCTTGTGCAAGCAGTTTCTTTCTTCCAATGGATGTATGCCAGTAAAAAGCACAGCTCTCCCAATCTACCCGAGTGGTGTCTGAACCCTTATCTGGCTGCTCTCCCAGTCTACCCATGGCTTCTTACCTACCAACTCATCCCACCCTGGACGCTTTGTTTCGAGGTGCCACGCACCGGCTTAGTTTCCCACGGTGCTCTCACCTGAGTGGTGTCCGGGCCTTTCTCTGGCTGCTCCCCCAGTCTACCCATGGCCTCTGACCGCCGCCTCCGCACCACTGCTGCTTCAATATTCAGACGTTTCAAAGCAGATTGTTTATAACGTTGCTCTCACCTGAGTGGTGTCCGGGCCTTTCTCTGGCTGCTCGCCCAGTCTACCCATGGCTTCTGACCGCCTCCTCTCCACCACAGCTGCTTTCTCCGCGGCTGCCCTCTCCGCTTGCCGCTGCTGCTCTGCCTCCTCCTCCGCTCGCCGTGCTGCCGCCTCCTCCTCCTCCCGCTGCTTCCTCGTAGCTTCCTCCCGTTCCCTCTCACGCTCCTGGTGGCACGAGGTGCAGAGCGGGAATGAGGAGGGCAGCAGAGGGACAGTGACAACGGCAGTGACGGATGGAAAAGGGGAGGGCATGAGAGGGAGATGGATGGCCAGAGAGGGATGGAGGGGCATTGGGAGACGAGGGGGCAAAGGTTGCAGCGGAAACATCATATGGGTACTCCTCTCGTCACACCCACCCACTAGCCCCACCCCGCGCCAACTCTTAACTGCCTCCACACAGGCTGCTTCCCACACTCCAGTGGTTCCCACACTCGCACTGTCCTGCCAACCCTCCCTCCCACCCCCCACCAACCCCATAGTTCCCTTCCCCCGTGTCCCCCCCATGCGATGCACGCACCTGGTCAGCGAGCAGCGCGGCGTGGAAGGCGGCGTCCTGCTCCTCCCGGAGGCGGCGTGTGAGCGCCCTCTCCTCCGCGTCCGCCCTCGCCGCCACCAGCACCGCGCCATGGTCCTCCACCGCGCGCTCCAGCGCCCCCCTCAGCTCGCCTGCGGATACGTAGCCCTGAATCTGCCCCGCTCAGCGGATGATGGGGGGTGCGGAGAGGGAGAGAGGGGGGGGGGAGGGACGGACGGCGGGAAGACGGAGAGGAGGGATGGGGGGAAGAGGGAGGAAAGGGAGGGAGAGGGAGGGAGGGGAGGGGAAGGAGGGGGTTGAGAAAGGACGGCCTTGTTGTGTCCATGTTCTCACGTTATATCCCAACCTTGTTCATTCTCGACCCACCACCCAGTTCCTTGTCACGATCCGTGCAACCCCACCTCCCCTCTTTCCACACCTTCCTCTCCCCCGTTCCTTCCACTCTCTCTCCCCCCCCCCCCCCTCGTTCCCCTCCCCTCCCCTCCCACCGCGCGTCGCGCACCTGCTGCAGCAGCGCCACGCGTCCGCCCGGCGCGGCGGTGATGAGGGCGAGGAAGGGGAAGCGCACGGCTTGCAGGCGGTGGCTCATCTGGAAGCCCTCCACGCTGCGCACGTCCGCCGCCCACAGCACCAGCTGCTCGTCTATCACGCGCACCACCTCCGGGTCGCACAGCGTGTCGCGGCAGAACCTAGGCGTCGCCGCGTGCTCCGGCGCGTGCAGGTACACCAGCAGGAAGCGGAACTGCTCGCCCGCGCGCCGGAGCGCGTCCGCGAAGCTCCCCGGAAAGAACTCCGGGTGCGCGGAACCGAACTCCGCCTCGAACCGTTGGCGGAAGACCGCCGCGTCTTGCGCCTGCTGGTTCCCCCCTCCCGCTCCTCCTCCGGTCCCCCGCTGCGCCTGTTGTTGCGCCGCTCCCCCAGCCTGCTGCGAAGGGTGAAGCGCGCCGATGGTCCCCTGATGCCCGCTGTACGGGTGCGGCCCGCCCGCTAGCCAGATCGTCACGGAGCTTAGAGAGGAGAAGAACGTGGATAAGACACCGCCTGCCGCCCACAAGCCTAGGCCGAAGAGACTAGCCATGAACCCCAGCCCTCCGCGGAGCACCCAGAAGGGGAGGGATAGGAGGCGGGAGAGGAGTGACGACGATGAGTTGCGGTGGGACGCGCGGATTGTCGCGCGGCCCGAACGGAGCGCGGAGACGGCGGGAGGGAGTGCGCCCGTGGCGCCGTCCGCAGTCGCTCCTGCTGCTCCGGGACTGCTTGACCCCCCACCCCCGCCGCCGCCGCCTCCGCCTCCGCCTCCGCTTCCTCCGCCTGCCACAAGCCCTCCCGTCCGCGCGCGCAGATTCGAGTTGCCGATGGGGCCTCCGCTTCCTCCTCCCGCTCCGCCTGCTCCTCCTCCTGCTGCTGCTGCTGTAGCCCCTCCCCCTGCGCCCGCGGAACGCGCCAAGCTGGTGCCGGCGGAACTGCCGGCAGCCACGCCTAATCTCCCGGCAGCAGCAGCGGCGGAATCTCCGCCTCCGCTGCCGCCTCCCAGATCGCCCGCGGAGACGCCGCCAAAGTGCTCTCGATCCGCAGCGGCGACCGCGAGGAGTGTGCTGGCGGCGGCGTTGACGTCCCACGCGTGCGCCTCCAGAACCTGGCGGCAGTGCGTCTCGTCCGCCACCCCCGTCACCTCCTGCAACGTCTGCACCGCTTGCGCAGTAGCCGCTGCGTCCAGCAGAGGCGGCGGAGGCGCCGACGCTGCCGCTGCCATGAGCGAGAGGAGTGGACACTAGATGGGGATGGAGACGGCGGGAGCGGAATTGGTGGGAAGTGTAAGGAAGTGGGATGCCGGACTGAGCGGAGCTGCGGAGCACAGCCAGGGGAGTACGCCCGGCACGCGCGATTCACCAGCCCTTGGCTGCTATGCAAGACGGGTTAGGGAGGGTCAAACCGAGATACTCACTGAAGAAAGCTGCTGCACAGTTCTGTTGAAATCAATGGCGAGATCTATCACTACAGTTCCCATTTCTGTTCTCGTCTCGTGTGATCGAGGAATTCTGAAAAGTCCGCAGGGGCAAGGTTGAGGAGGAAGAGCGGAAGGAGCTTCCGCGCGCGCATGACAGGTCACAGGTCCAGGGATCGGGCAGGAGGGGTGGGTATGAGAGGAGCGCTAAGTATTGGTGCCTGCCCGTACCGCTGGGTTGGGGTGGTGCCACCGCTGACCGACAGGAGGAGAAAGACTCGCTAAAAGCGAGAGGCGAAGCTAGGTTCCCAGCATCTCGGAGGTACAACTTTACGAACTGTTGCAGAATGCTCAGTGGTCTCTACACTATGCAAGTAAGTCTATTGGTCATCTGGAGAAGCTAATTCTTGAAGAGTATTTTTTAGTATGTTGGAAATAAATTCCTTACACAATTCTGTCTCATTATGAAACTATTGTTTTAATACTTATATATGCATAATATATTCTATATCATATATCTATAATAATTGATATATAATGTCGTATTAAGTCACTCGTATATATCTCAAGTAGTATAGAATCTTTTATCTAGCATAACTTCAAATAAGGCACGCAAGTTCAATCTAAAAGCTTGGCTGAAACCTGCTGAACGTGTTTTCAACCAATAAAGAGGCTATCTTTTTACCGAGTCCAGCTTATTAAAGGAGCACACAATCTTGTCCTCGACAACAGCACACAATGCATTTCTGGACCAGCAGCAGCCATGGCCGCCCAACTGCAACTGCCATTCCTCACTGCCTCTTTCGCAACGCCTGTATTCCTGCGCTCCATTACTGCTGTCTGCAGCTCGCGACTGGTTCCTCTAACGCTCGTGGAACTTCCACGTCCTCCACCATTACCTGCGCACTAACGACACAGTACGACTGTTCTGTATATCGCTTCGCGTGGGGCTGCCGATGAAATGACACGGCCAATGCCGTTACCGACATTCTTTACGATGAATGTCGTGCTGGCGACGCAACGCGTAAGAGGCGAATGGAAGCGCTATTCTTGGCGGGTTACATCTGCTGGGGCCAGTCCTCACCTCAGCCCACCCCCAAATGCTTCCTTTCGCCATGCTTGTCCGATCTGACGCCGATGTCGCCGCCAAACCACAGGCAGCGCTGGTACAGCCGTCGCGAAGCGCTAGATGCAGCCGTACAGTACACCTCCACCGACCCGACACCCAACCCGACCCGACTCGACACCTCCTCACGCCACGACTCCCCGTCCCATACCCAGCGCTGCCATGAGTCGCGCTTGACCGCCGCCATGCTATAAATGGAAACGCTCCTCCTGACCCAAACCATCGTCAACATCCAGTCCTGTGCTAAACTGTTCTCGTTCATCCGTTGTCTAAACTTTTTGTAGCCCTTCGACCTCTGCCCACTCTCGATCGATCGACCGGTTGCGCAAGCTCGAGCCATGGCGATGCAGCAGCATTTCGGTTTCTCCCAGCGTGTCGTGGTGGCGGTGGTGGTGCTCCTCGCCGCTGCTTTCGTCACCTCGTCACAGGTGCGTCTCTTCACGCCACTCTAGTCACGTAGCTCGTCACGCCACTCGCTTACCCCTGGATTTCTTGATCTAAAAAATGCGAAACCTGTCTAGGGTCTAACCTGCCGTGACGGCTGGCACGAAGTGAAGTTGAGTTTATGACGGCCATTGCCGTGACGTGCTAGCGTCATTCTGAGGGTTAGGCGGCGTTATTTCTCCTCCGTGTGCGTGTGGTGCAGGCCAATCCCCTGACGACCTTCGTGGTGGGCGGCAACTACAACTTCCCCACCTTCCGACCCAACCCCTGGAATCTCCGCGCGCACGCGTACAACCCTCAGCGCGTGCTGCCCGGGAACGACCTCGGTATGCCGCCCTGGGGAAACAACCTGCTCCCTTACCTTATTTCCTGTGAAAGTCCCTTAGTTTTCCTTCCGCCCTGCCTCATTTTCGTTTGAATACCATACTCTACTTCTTACATGATTCTCTCTTCCTCTCTCACCCTCCTAACTCTTTCTTTACTCTCTCACTCTCCCTTGCTCTCTCTCACCCTCCTCATACTTACTTACTCTCTCACTCTCCCTCGCTCTCTCTCACCCTCCTCACTCTAGTCACTCCCACACTCTCCCTCTCTCACCCCTCTCACTCTCCACTCTCTCGCCCTCTCACTCTCCTCCATCCCTCTCCCCTTCTCCCACATGCAGAGTTCCGGTGGAACGGGTGGCGATCGGACGTGTGGAAGTTCCCGACCATGGCGGCATATCAGGCGTGTGACTACACATTCGCCACACAGCTGGTCAAGCCGTCCTACTTCGGAAAGTACATCTACACCATTCGGCAGATCGAGGCCGGCACCACGCTCTACTTCGCCAGCCGCGTCTGGCAGAACTGCCAGAAGGGACAGAAGGCCAAGATTCGCGTCAATGATCTTAATCCGCTGAACTAGAGGGGCCCGTGTAGGTGTGCGCATATAGTATGTATGTGGGGAAATAAGTGAGGTTAGATGGGTGAAGTAGCTGTTGGATGTGTATCAGAGCATTTGCCTATGATCTTTGTATTGAGAAAGCTTGCTTTCTTATTTTTATCAATTGGCATCGTTCTCATTACAACTGGGTGTGTGTTTAAAAATTATAATATTGAGAAAGCTTGCTTTCTTATTTTTATCAATTGGCATCGTTCTCATTACAACTGGGGTCTCTGAGACATGGGCAGCGGGGGCCTCCTATGGCGTACGAGCGCCTCTGTGTGTTGCGCCGAAGACACCGCCTGCGTCGGATCTTGCAGGTTGCGGGATGCTGTGATGAGAGGCTCGACGTATGGCGTGACGTACATTTCCTTAGCTGTGTCGCTTCGCCATCTGCCCAGCCGTTTGAAGACTCTGTCTGGCACTCCAGTGTTGGCTGCTACTGTGGCCGCGCCTTTTCAGAAAGAGTGAGTGCCGAGCTGCAGCTCTCCCAGACCAACTTTTGCGAAAGCTTCCTTACACCAGTTCCGAATTGTAGTGTATGAAGGCGGCTTCGCTTGGCCTTTGCTGCTTGAAGCGTGCCCGAAGACACGAATCAACGGTCCCTCTGACTGAGGACCATAGCCGGCGAGTTGGATGAAGCGTCGGGTGCAGCGCACTGGGCAACAAGGGTCTGTCGTTGCTGCAATGGGTATCCATGTTCCGTGACCGGCCTGATCGGTCTTAGAGTGTGGTATGAGGATCCACATGACCTCTTCGTCGAATTGGATGTCTTGCCATTGTATGGCCACTAGGTCGGAGTATCGCAGAAATCCTGAGTACATGAGGATGGGGATCAGCCCTTTCTGAAATTCCGCAGGGTCGTCAGACTGCAGGTAACTCCCGGCCATGTCGCGGACTTGTTGGATCGATACGGGTTCCTTCAGACGAGTAGGGCGGGGGCAGTGTCGTTTTGCACAGTCGCGGACTTGGGTGGTAAACGGACCGATTGTTGGGCATTTGTTCCCAGTCATGCGATGGGCGAAGCTTACTGCCGAGCACGTCAGCTGCACTACGGACAGGGTGGCTTTGCGTCGGATTGCGTGAACCAGGTATAGTGCGAGTGTCATGTCGGAAGCTGGAAGAAAGGAGAGATCCACTTTTGTGCAAAATGCTCGAAACTTGGCCCAGTATGGTTCGTATGTCCGGATCGTAGAATCGGCGCTGCGCGAGCATTTTGATCAGTTGGTCGTGTAACTTTGGGAGCAAATCTGAACACAGGAGTGGACAATATGCATTAGTCAAATACCACTGGCAGTGCAATGATTGGGCTATGCGGTAGTCCCGTGCCCGAGAAGGCAGTAGAATGGGACCCTGTATCTAGGCATTGGCTTCCGTGTGTGAGAGGGATGTGCGCGTGGATGTGTGGAGCCCAAGTACATAGGGAGGGTTGCAAAAGTGGCCACCAACTTGCGCCTGGCCAGTGCGGGACTATTAATGTGAGTGATGCATGGGTGCGTTGTGCATGGTGGAGGACGGCTGGGACCAGTTGGGGTGGGGGGGAGGCGAAGTTGTTTTCGGCTGTCCATGCGATCGAGAACGCATCAACTGCGATGGCTTCCGGGTGGGGGATCTTGGTGCAAAAGCGCGAGAGTTGGGTGTTGTGAGAGTTTGCAAAGAGGTCGATGGAATGCGGACCCCAACGACGTTCTAAGATGAGAAACCACGGCTTCTTCAACGCGTAGTCGTCGTGGTCGACCATTTTTGAAAGCTCGTCAGCATGTGAGTTGAGCTCTCGCGGGATCCATTCAATGATCAAGCGCGTGCCGAGCCCCATGCATGTTCGGATGATGCTTTTGCAAGCCATTGTGAGGTCAGAGCTGTGAGAGCCGCCTTTGCGAAGGATGAAGAATACGCCCTGGTTGTCCACCCGCACGAGAACGTGTTTTTGCTTGATCTTGTTGGCGTACGTTTGGAGCGCCCAAAGGACGCCTTCGATCTCCCGCCGCGTGCTGGACGTTGCCTGTAGTGGCTCTGACATGGTTGCGCTCGCTTCTTCGAGGCCACCCGGAAATGTAGTTAGAGTGGCGCCCCAACCATGAGAGCTGGCATCCACATGAATTACCGCATCGTAGCTGTTCCGGACGTGGAAAGGTGCACCGTTGAACCGGTCGAACTCCTCAAGCCAAAAGTGTAGCTCCTCTGCTGCGGCTGGGGGGATGACCATGTTGCTTTTCCATGACGGTGCGTCGTTGATTACTTGTAACATGGCGTGGCTGAATGCGCGAGCGGTCGCGCCAAGTGCGACCCCCATTGATGCGAGCATGCCTGTGATTCTGGCCACGTGGCGGACCGGGACTGGTCGGCATGCCTTGCTTGCGCTCAGGAGGTTTTGGATGGTTGCATGTAGTGAGGCTCGTCGGTCGGGACCGATGGAGAATCGACCGGTATCGGTTTCCAGCTCTACACCCAAAAATCGTAGGCGTTGCGATGGTGACAGCTGTGATTTCTTCGCGTTTATCACGAGTCCTGCCTCTTTAAGGTCCAATATCACACGCTGGCAGATCGCTTGCGCATGGTCTTTTGACTGACAGAGGAATAAGATGTCGTCCACGTAAGGGATGACTCGGATGCCTTGTTCTCGCCAGCGCCGAGCCAGTTGCTTGATGAGCTGCGTGAAGACGAATGGAGCTGTCGCGAGGCCAAATGGCAGTGAACGAAATGCGTACGTGCGCCTCCCAAATTCGAAGCCGAGGAACTTCCAGCATGATGGGTGGATGTCGATGTGGTGGTAACCGGATTTAAGGTCAATGGAGAACATCCAATCCCCAACGCGTGCCAGGTCCGCCACGCGGTTGAGCCCCTCGTACTTGAACTTGGGGACGATTAAGCTTGCGTTGACTTTCCGCAGATCAAGAATGAGTCTGCATTTGTCTTTTTGCTCGACCACATTGAGTGGACTTATACACGTCAGCTCCGTTGCGTGCATCTGGACTGCTGCTCCGGTCTCTAGGAGTTCTTGGATAGCGGTACGCGTGAACGTAGCATGCGTGTTTGCCCCGACATGGTTGCGATCGTGGAAGGGTTGTGGTGGGCCGTGGCTCCATGGTAGCCAATAACCCCTGGCGATGACGGAAAGGACGAGGCTGCAGGGACACCAGGAGCTCCACCACGCAAAGGTCGCACGAAGTCGACCGCGCATTTGTGTAATGGTTTTGTCCGTGACGGCAAATTCATACGGATCGTCGTAACATACCGCCTCGCACTGTCGTGCTCCTGTAATTGAGGCAAATGGGGTAGGGTTGGGAGTTCCATTTGACGCATGCATGTGCGTGTGCATGTACGCGCAATCGTTGATCAATGGTGTGAATGAGATTGCCTATCTATCGAAAGGACAACAAATATGTCGTGCGCGCGCCGACGCTTCTTCTTCTTCTTCTTCTTCTTCTTCTTCTTCTTCTTCTTCTTCTTCTTCTTTGTTTTTTTTTTTTTTTTTTTTTGCTCCATGGGCACCCTGATCATGGTAGGCAAGTAGGTGTCACTCTCTGGACCCCCTCCTCTTTTTTTTTTTTTTTTTTTTTGTCTCATCTAGCACCGTGGCTAGCCCTTTTTCCGATACATCACATCGCGCTTTTTTTTTTTTTTTTTTTTTGCTCGCCTTGTCATCCACTTGGTAAGACGTGGTTGTGCATGCCTTTAGTGCATGTGGGCTGGTGCTTTGAACCATGGACATGCGTGTCCACCGTGCTTTGTCTTGTTCTCTCTCTCTCTCTCTCTCTCTCTCTCTCTCTCTCTCTCTCTCTCTCTCTCTCTCTCTCTCTCTCTCTTTCTCTCTCTCTCTCATGCTCTGCACCTCCTCTGTGTGTCTAGAGGCTCTTTGCAAAATATTAAATCAAGGAACTTTTTATTAAATCAACCAAAACACATTGCAATGCTTCCTAGCATTCATCACCCCACCGGGTGGCCAAATACATGGGACCGAGGGGTTGTTGTTCCCCTTCCCTATCCTAGGCCCAAAGCCTATTACTACCCTTCACTAGGGCTGGCCTCTTGCCATCGCAAACCCCTAGGGCTGCCCACGGTTTTCGCACTCAAGAGTGCACCGTGCCTAGCGCCCAAGGCGCCTAATCCCTTGGCCCGCTCCTACACCACCGGAGCGGGTCCTTGGCCGCCATGCCCGTTCCTAGGGCAGGCACTTGCCACATGTCCCGGCTGGCCGCAGCGGAAGCACGAGCCCCGAAACCCACGACAATTGGCCGTGGGCGGGGGGGCCCGCTTGGGTAAGAACGGCATCGGCCCGTTGTTTCCGCCGCGGGTGACACGAGCGTATGCACTTGCCGCGCGGTCCATTGCAGCCATATCCGCGACCGCCTGCTTGAAGGGTCGAGAGGTCAGCAGGCTCTTCTGCTGGTACAGTTTGAAGCATTTCGCCGTGCGGAAGTCGGAAGCGTCCTCCACTTGAAGCACCTCGAAACGCCCCGAGATGAGGTTGAGCGCGTGTGAGATGAGTTCGAGTCCGCCCGCCGAGTCGCCTCGCTGCGCCTTGTATTCCGCGTGCAGCAGGTACGCACGCAAGTCCTCCAGCAGCTCCGCTTGCTCTCGCACGGAGTCGTTGACGAAAGTCGCCGCCGAAAAGGTGAGGTTAGAAGAAGGAAGGGGGGGGAGGTTTTCCGTGCCAATAAAATTAGCAGTGTTGACTGGAGCCTCACCAGCTTCATCTTCAGAGTCGTCGGTGTCGTTGTCGACCGCCGGAGCAGGGGGAGCGGCTGTCGCTGCGTCGTTGTCGTGCCGGTTCGTACGTGCTCCTCGCGTGCCTTTTTCCTTTTTCGCGTTTTCTTTTTTAGCCGACGCAGATGTAGCGGGTAGTGCAGTTTCCGCAGCTGTAACGCTGACGGGCTGCTGCTGTAGAAGGGATAGCAGCGCGTTGACCTGGTCCGGGGTCAACGCCTGCGTCAGTGCAGGGGCGGTCGTCGCGTCAGACGAGGAAACCGCAGTCCGCCTCCTCTGGCGCTGACGCGACGGTCCAGCCGCGGGTGCTGGCGTGTGCTCGGCGTCAGGTGCGTGTGCCGCGCCAGCTGCCGTCGCCACTTGCGCCGCAGGTGCCACAGGCGCCACTGGCGCCACTGGCGCCACAGGGGCCGAAGGGTGCTGCTGGGCGTCGGCACTTTTGTTGACCTCGAGCCCGCCCAGCAGCACGTCCACTGCAGTCGGGGCGGGCGGTCCATCTTCTGCCCGGCGCTTGTTACGGCGGTCGCCCGCAAAATCGCGGGTGTTACGGTCGGAGTCGGAAGCGGGGTTGGACGAGTTCCCGTTGTTAAGTGTCGTCGTCGGTGCCATCGTTGATCGATTGAAGTTAAAAATGTCGCTAAGTAAAGTCGAGGGTGACTCGCCTCTAGGAAGCGATTTTGTTCTAGCCAGCTTGGAAGGAGAGAAAGACTACGTGAGCGGAAATGTTGAGTGAGCCGTTTGAAATAGAGAAACGTGGGTGGAGGGAAATGAGCTCCAACCCACGGTTTTTGTAGTTGGAGAAGGGCGTTTAGCGCGCTTCGACGATGCCAATTGTGCAGTACAAGCAGCTTCGCTTTCACAATACACAATTTAAAAAAACACAATGTGTGTTTAAAAATTATAATGCTGCAGAGGCACTATATTGGATACCACTGTTAGCGCTTTCAACCACTCTGTTCTGATGCCAAACATGTGGAATGAGAGGACAAGAAGCCTTGTAATGTACCCTTATACGGTGCTGTAAATATCCACCTCAAACACTTCAATGCGCTGCTACGGTATTCTATTTCAAGGAGCATTCCCACTGTTGTAATTGCTCCTCAATCCGAGCCCTCCATCCAACCACACTTTTTCTCCTCGCTGCTCCACCCCCTTCCTCCTCGTCTTCACCGCTCGTTTCCACCTCTGCTGCTAGCTGCCATGCAAACTCCATCAACCGTCCCTCCTCACTCCTCACAGCCACCCCTCCTCCTTCCCCCTCCCCACCAGACACCAATTCTGACCCTCTCCCCCGCCTCCCTTCCTCTGCCTTCTCAATCCCCTTGCTCTCCCCCTGGCCTCCCTCAAGACTGCCCCCTTGCTCCCACTGCACCTGCTGGGAATGCTCGGCGAGAGCTAGCGTGGCAGGTGTGACTTGGTTGATTCTGCGGGGAACGGCATGCGCGTATGCCTCTGCGACCGAGGCAAGGGCGGAGAAGGAGAGTGGCACACGCTGCCGCAGCAGCCGCGCCAGGAACAGCTCCATGTGCCAGATGTTGCCCTGGAATGGGTGCGTTAAGAGAGTCAGGAGAGATGTGCAAGGGACCGGTGTGTGTGGGGAGGGGCGAAAGCGAGGGGGGGAGGTGGGGGTTGAAGGGGGGAGAGGGGGGGAAGCGCGGGAGAAGAGCGGATATGCGGGAGAAGAGGAAAGACAGGAGCATCGCAGACACCAGCACAACCAGCCTCTTCACCAGAGCAGCCAGCTATGTGAGCCACTAAACACTCACTCACTAGCGCTCACCTGGAAGGCAGCATATGCGACTGCAGTGCTGTAAGACGTCTGGTCAGGGGCAAGGCGAGGGTGCTGCTCCATGCGCGCTAGGAAGCGATGCGCTGCCTTGTAGTCTTGCGCACTGCATGCCGCCTGCCGTGCTCCCAGGGAACGAGCCACGTGGTGTGCGGTAAGTGGATGAGCAGTGGGGCGGGAGATGTGGGGCAGTGTGGGTGGGGCAGTGTGGGTGGGTCGGACGGGAATAGATGGGACACGTTGGGCTTAGAGGAGGGTTGAGGGATGTGTGGATGGGAAAGGATATTCTGGGTTTGGAGCATCGTACAAGGGTACGCGCATACCCACCCACACGCATGCACACACAGAGATACAAGGAGATGGACACACTACAACCAGCAAGGAGGGAGATGCGAGAGAGAGTATACGGGTAAACGAACATATGGGGCCCACGGCAAGCGAACCAGCAACAGGGCAACCACACACAATAGCAAGACGGTCAGCTCTGCAACCGAACAAGAATGGAACAAAGAACGACGAAGGAGGCACACACCTTTATGGCAGTGTTAAACGTGATGGTGTCAGGCTCAATCCCCCTCTCCTCCATCTCTTCTATCACCTCGCACACCTCAGCCACACAGTCCGTCTCACCACCCTCGCCCTCCCTATCCCCTCCTCCCCGCCACTGGCCATCCCTCTCCACCAGCACGTCTCCTCCTCTCCTTCCCCCCTTCGCACTCGCACTGCCCGCCCCTCTGTGCGCAGCAGCGACAGCAAGGGCGTTGAGGAGAGCGTTGAAGGTGACGGTGGTGGGTGTGAGGTGCGGGTGCTGCTCCGTTAGAGCAAACAGCTGCCTCGCTGCGTGCACCTGTGACCCCATGGTGATTGGGTAATGCCCGGGGGGTGGTAGGGAGGGGGGAAGGCGGATGGCAGCATGACGAGGGTGGGACGAGAGAAAAGGGGCAGTGGAGGGTGGAGGAAGGTGGGGCAGGGAGGGCAGAGGAAGGGGGTTTACAGCACAGCAACATAGAAGTGAACCTGAGATACCAGACAGTGCAGAACAGGAGCAAGCGCGAGAGGCCACTCCCTGTTCCCACACTTTTTCCTCCCCTCCTCCCCCCTACACCTTCTTTCCCCTCTCACAGTCACCCCACAGTCACTTCACAATCACCCCGTTATGCCACCATTGGGCCGCCTCATGGACCCACATCTCCCACTCCAGCAGCGGTTTCCCAGGCGTCTCAAGAGAGGGACCCACCTGGCCGAGCCTGGCGGCGGCAGCGATGGCGGTGTTGAGAGTGAGTGTGTCGGTGAGGGGGCGGCCAGCAGCATCAGGCGTGGACAGCCCCCACTGCACGTGCTGCTGCATCGCCCTGCACAGCCCCGCCCCGCCCAACACACGCACCTGCCAGACAGGTTGCGAGGGAAAGAGGAGGCGAGAGGGAGAGGGAAGAATTCGGTGATGGAGGGATTGTGGAGAGGAAGGAGGAAGGAAAGCAGAGGGTGGAGTAGGGGCGGGGAAGGGGGGGAATGCAGGGGTGGGTGTTAACTGTTAGGTAAGAGAATTGGGCCTGTGACAGCAAAGCGCGGTGGTGTTGTGTTGAGAGAAGCAGCGAAGGTGGTGAGAGGATTCCGCTCACGAGTGTGCAGAAAGATGCAGCAGAGTGCCTGACACCAGCAGCACTCATTGCCGCCTCCACTGCCGCCACTCGCCGCCACACCTCCCTCTGCCTCGTCCCCCCCTCCTCTCCCTCCTCCTCCCCGCCCTCCCCCATAACTGCACCAAAAGATGCCCCCACCGCTGCACCAGCCCCATCATCTCTCCATCCGACAGCAGAAACTCCTGTCTCTCCATCCATATCCTCGTGATCATAATCCCCGCTCTGCCACCGTCCACTGCTAGATTCACCTTCCGCTTCCCCTGCACCTACTTCACCAAGTCTCCTACTTTCACTGCCCCCCCTTCCTCCCCCGTTAACTTCCCACCCGCCGTCCACTCCCATCCAATCCCCCGCCATGTCCCCTCCGCCTCCCCCACCCGCGCCACTCCCTTTAATGCCCCATCTAGTGGGCGTGGTGGGGCCAGCAGCGAGCAGCAGCAGGGCCTGCAGAGTGCAGGTGTCAACGGGTACTTGGTCTTCCAGCATGGCTCTGAACACCTGAAATGCATCGTCAAACCGGCCCTCCTTGCTGCACGCGCGGATGAGGGCGTTTCCTGCGAACCGCAGGCGCGTTGCATGCTCCCCGGATGAGATTGAAGCCGCTGCTGCTGCTGCTGCTGCATTGGAAGGAGTGACAGCCCCAGCATCGTCATCATACTCATCATGATAGTCATCACCATCATCAGTATCAGCAAGTGCGTCAGTCCTGCTGCTGCTGTTGCTGGCCCCTCCCTGCCGGATCTGGTGGAACAGGCGCAGGGCGTCCTGCGTGCTGCCATGGCGGATCAGACCGTATGTGAGAAAGGAATCCACAGCCACTCGGAGAGACTTGCTGCTGCTGCCACCGCTGCCGCCCCTGCTGCTACTGCTGCTGCTGCTGTGGCTGCTGGGGGTGGCGGAGGGAGAGGCCAAGGCCAGGGAGCCGTCCGGAGCGGTGAGTGCAGGAGTGGAGCCCTCACGGTTGCCAGTGGTGCCACTGATCAGATCAAACTGGGGCACGGAGGGAGCGGAGGGTGGGGACAGGGAGAATAGGGGTTGAAATGGAGAGAGGGAGAAAAGATAATGAGCACGTACATGCACAGGGGAGTGCGGAAAGAGGGCGGAGGGTGTAACGCGGAGAGAATGGGGAAAGGCAGAGAAGAAGGAGCAGGGAGGGAGGACTGGCGATACTTACTATGGCCTGTGCGAGCGTGGGTCGGTGAGAAGCGAAGGCAGCACGGGTGAGAGCATTGATGGTGTAGTCATCTGGATGCACTCCCCACTGCACCATCTGATGCACGGAAGCCACGGGGTCACACGGCAGGGAGGGACGGTGGGAAAGAGAAGGAAACATGGGGACAAGAAAAACAGAACGAGAAAGAGGGACATAAAAGAGGATGGTGCAGTGGAGTGTGGACATATATAAGTGGTCTCTACAAACCATGCATCTCTATCTTGCTCTCTCCTCTCCACTCCTCTCCTCTCCTCTCCTCTTTCCCTTCTCCTCTCTCCAGTCCATCTGTCTCACCCGTTGCAGCATAGCCAGAGCCAAATCCCATCGTGCATGCTTCGCAGCCGCATTAAGGATGGCATTCCAGCCCACCCGCAAACCCATCTCCACCGCCTCCCACTCCCGCCCCTCCTTCGCACCCTGCAACTCCATTCCCCGCCCCATCCCTAAACCCAATCCCATGTCCCGATTAATGGAATCCCCTCTTGCTTCGTCTCCGCTCCCTTCCCCAGCTCCACCCAGCGTCGCTCCCTCTGACTCCCCACGCGTCTCAGCAGCAACGCCCTCTGTCTCATGCCCCTCATGCTGAGAAACGAGCGCCAGCAGCTGCTTTCCATCCCATGCACCCTCCCTGTTGCACCCCCATGTGCCTCGTGCTCCCGACGTGCCCATCCCTCTCCTGGCACTCGACCTCTCACTCCTCTCTTCCAAACCTCTTGCTGCCGCTGCTCCTGCTCTTCCGCCTGCTCCCACTTCTCCCACTGTTCCCCCTGCTCCCTCTGCTGCTGTAGAAAGCCCATACCCCTCCTCAACCCCAGCAATCCCTTCCTTTCCTCCCGCCCCGACCCGCACCGGCTTCAACCGCACTGCACCGGCTCTCTCCAGCAGCAGGCCACACCCGGAGCCTATCCGGCCGTGCCCCCCTTGCAGCTCCCTCAGCACGGCTGCTTCCACGTCCTCCATGGCTTGCAGTGCGTCAGAGAGAGCACCGGGGATGCGAGAGAATGCCACCACACGTGCAGACAGGGCCACGAGAGGCAGCGGCGGGGGAGGGGGAGGGGAGGACGGGGGGAAAGGGGACGAAGGGGTGGGATGGAGATGCTGGGTTGATAAGGAGGAGGTGGTGGTGGTGGGAGCGGGGTGGGGTGAGAGTGGGGAAGATGGACTGGTGGGTGATGGACGGGGTGAGTGTGTGGGTGGTATGTGAGTAGGATGAGCATGTGAGTGTGAGTGTGCAGCGGCCATGGCGTGCAGCAGCTGCTTCCACAGGTCCTCCACCGCCTCTCGGTCCCCCACTAGCCCCGCTAACTGCCACACCAACACACGGAGGAGGAGGGAGAGGCATACGCAGGGAAGACACACGAGGAGGAAGAGGGGTTGGGAGACAAGGAGGAGGAGGCCAGCATAGAGGTCTATTTCTTAGGCGCCACAAAAAACTGACAAGGAGGGGGGAAGGGGAAGGGGAGTGGGGAGGTTTTGCTGGGATGGATGTGCAGGTGTGTGTGTTGATAAGGGCGGGGCCCCACCTTGATGAGCTCGGTGTAGGAGATGGCATCACAGGGCACGCCACATTGCTCCATGAGCAGCACACAGTGCGCTGCACTGCGGCTGTCCCTGCCCCGCGCACACGCCGTCAGCACCACATTGAACACCCCCGCACACAGTGGTGCACACACCGCTGCCGCCGACGCTGCTGCTGATGCTGACAGGGATGCTGTTGCTGGTGGTGGTGTTGATAACGGAGGTGATGCTGATTCCGTTGAGCGATGATGGTGGGAGTGCTGCACCTGGCCTCTCCTCCCTGCGGTGACCAGCCTTCTGCTGCCGCCCTGCTGCTGCACCCGCATCTCAAGCCAGTCCAAGGCCTGAATGAAGGCAGACACACAGGTGAACACAGAACCAGGACATGAATGTGCTCATGACCCACTACAGGCTGTAAGGGCGAAAATCGAATATACGGTTCGGATACGAGTACCTTAGACGAGTATTTAGCGAGTAATGACAACCTAAGTATTTGATCGAATACCACCAGTTTATTCGAGTCGAATACGAGTCGAATGCTGTCGAATACGAGCGAATACGAGTCGAATATCGAGTACTACCTCACCAGTCTTTTTTACTTGTGTGAACGCAATATGAACCTGAAGTTTCAAGCTTTAGACAGGTCGAGAATTTCCATGCACACTCTAGCATACGTGGTCAACTCTAGCGTGAAACAGGCGTTACTTAGACAGATGGCTGTCTAAGTGTGAATGTGATTTCTGACCTTTGCATTCTGATTTGCTGATCTGTTTGCCCATAAAAACACTACCAACGTAATCGTGTTGTCTGTCGTCAAGAGTGTGTTAAGGGCGTGTCGAGACTCGAGATTGGCAGAAATTCAGCTTCCACTTCAAATGGCTAGAGTTGTGTAGTGAGCGCGGTATACGAATTGATCGTGCGTGTTGACAAGGTCGCATCATTGTACGTAAGTGCACGAGCACTTGTAGTTAGACGGGTTCTTCCCCAACGAAGGCCCAAACTCTTGTTATAAGTGGACGGTCAATCCTCTCGGGAGGAAATTTGTGGGCCCATTGACAATAATCCTTGTATTTGGTGTATTTGGGGGCAGGGATGCTTTATTCGAGTATTCGTCGAGTACCCGAGTACTTGACCCCCGAATACTCGCCCTCCCGAGTACTTGCGAGTACCCCCCTACTCGATTTTCACCCTTAACTACAGGTACCTCTTGCGATGGAGAAGTGGGATAATGAAGAGGGACGTACAGTCGGTGGAGCAGTGACAGAAGCAGAAAGCGGAAGTGACAGAAGGAGCAGGAACGGACGAGAGAAAAGGCGAGCGCCTAGCGTTTGTCACAAAGACTAGTCCTTCTACCTGACGCACCCCCTGATGGCTCATACATACCAGTTGACTGGTTGAGTCGTTTCAGAAACAGACTTCTGCTACCACTTGAAGCACCCTGATCCGGAACACCCACTTGGCCTCAATCTCCAACGTGCGCGCAGCCTGCTGTGTGCTCACCTCATGCATCCTGCCGGCGTTGCACAAAGCGCGGAGAAAGGAGATCTGTGCGCCCACCGCAACAGGCACACCGGCTGACAGCATCGCATGCATCACACGATGCCCCACCTCTGCGTTGCCTGCCACTGCTGCTGCACGCAGTACTCGTGCACACAGCTGACCCCACTCCCTGCTTTCGCTCCTCTCCCTTCCTTCACTCCCTCCTCCCTCCCTCCTCCTCTCGCTCCTCTTGTGCCCACCTGTCGCCTCCTCCATTCCCCCTCCTCCCGTCCTTCTCTCTTCGCCTCCCCGTCCACTTCTCACACCTTTTTCACTTGAAACGCTCCCGAACCTGTTCCGCTGCTCCTCCGACCGCACACTCTCCAACCCCAACCCCTCCACACCACTCTCCACCCCTGTCTGCATGCGCCTCTCAAGTTCCTCCAGAAGCAGATCCACAGCCTGTCCTCCACCCTCCCTCACCGGCCTTTCTCCTCTGCTTCCTTGTGCCCCTTGTGCCCTGTCTGGTGCTCTCCCTTGCGCCCTGCCTTGTGGGCTGCGTGCAGTGGTCAGAGCGGCGCACAGGGCGTCGACCAGAGATGAAGAGGGCAGTGATGTGATGCGTGCTGGCCGTGGGGTGAGGAATATAGGGGTTGGGGGGGGCGGGAGAGAGAAAGGGAGGACGGAGGGATGGCGGGAGGGAGGCACGGAGGGACGGCAGGAGGGCAGATAGGATGGTTGAATGCGGGAGGTAGAGAGGTGTGGGGGGCGGAGGGGGGTTGAAGAGAGAAATGAGGGCGGGGGAAATTAGGGGGAGAGGATGGAGGAGAGAGACGGGGAAGTGGGGGAAAAATACCCCAAGGGATGCGAAGGGGGGGAGATTAGGATGAGGACGCAACTGTGGAGTAAAAGCTAGAGCAGCAGGGGTGGGCGAAGGAGCGGGGAGAGAGAGGGAAAGGTTACCTTGTGAGAGGGGAGTCATATTAAGGGGCGGGCTCTGTGAGTGACGTGAGACGTGTTTGGGAGGATAGGCGGTTGGTGAGGAGGCGGGGGCGGGTTCTGCTGCTGCTGCGGATACTACCGTTCTTGAACATGACGCTGAGGCGGTCTGAGGGTCGGGAGAAGGAAAAGACAGGCGAGGTGATGGCACGCATAGGGGTGTGGGGACTGGAATAAGGTTCTGGTAGAGCAATCGTGCTGAAGAGCAATGAGGAATCCGTACCCGTGTTGGAAGCTGCCACGTGGCAGAGGCGTTCCTCGGAATTGCCGAAGGTGGTTGTGCGGCGAGTAGGGAGGGCCAGATGACGGAATGCGCTTGGCGGAGTCGAGGCGCGAGGCGGAACCTCGAGATTGTCGCGCTGATAAGCAGTGAAGGCGACGATTCCCTCGAGACACGATGCGGCCGGCCATCTCTTGCCAATCCAAAGATGCCACGTGTATGCAATAGAGTGATCTGATCCGGGAAGTTTCGAGCGACGAGAAGGGACGTGGTCTGGCGCACGAGCAGCACCGATCGCCGTCGCTGAGACGTCGACGCCATGCTGATGCGCCTGACGCGACTGTGGAGTCTCTCGCGTCTCTCGCGTCGCCGCGGCGTGTGCTCTGCGTTACTTGCTCCTGCTCACCCCTTCCCCCTCCCAAACCCTCCCCCCCGCCTTTCCCCAAACCTCGTCTGTTCCCACCAGTGGCTCCTGATCCCTCTACAAACTCAGATCATAACGCCCTCTTCATGACTAGCATCAGTTGCCCGAATCGCGAATGCATCCAGAAAGTCCCCACGGTGTCTTTGATCAGCGCGGTCCCGCGTTGTCGTGATTCATAAGCTTTCAGAGCATCCTTCAAAATGCCCTGCCGTCATGACAGGGTGGATCCAAAAGCCTGGGCCTGAAGCCTCTGAAGGCATGGAGAGCATTCTGTGCGAGCTGCTCCCACAAGTGAGCTATTCATCCTCATTCATCATGCTGTAATTCTTTATTACGGTAGTTAACTATGTGTCAACAAAGAGTTTAGAGTGAAAAATGCAAGTCCAGGCGCCTCCTACGAAGAGCGTGCACATAATTACTCATTATCTCATCTTGTTTGCTGAAAAACAATTGGGTCCTTTCTTATGAAAAAAAAAGTATATCTGAAATATGATGTATATCCGCTCTGTGCCACGTTACCTTGTAGTTGGGGTGATAAACCTAACTAATAATAACCGGCATATAGAGTGGCTTATAGCAGAGAAATAAATCAAGTGTAACCAATTCACTGCACACACGAATTGAATGCGACAGTGAACCAGACGCAGAAAAAATCCAACCAATGGTTAGTATCCCGTGGTCCTAGGGATGGCTGATGCGATTATGATGGGTCGTTGACAGACCAAGTCCCTTTACCGGCCAGGATCGACGGTCAGCAGTGCGCACCGTCGTGTTACCCCTTTCTGCTAGTCAAACTCCGCCATTTCCCCCGCCCCGCCCCTGCTTGTAGATTCTTTGGTCCATCCTTCCCTCCGCCACCTCCCCAATCAGCCCAACCATCCAACCACCCCCAACTGCTCATTCTCCCTCCCCATGCCCCCCCTCCCTTGCTCCCCTTTTCTCCCACCAATACCCCTTAGAGTCCATCACCCAACCAACACCTCACAGCAGCACCCCCGCTTCGTTCTCCCATTCACTTCCCAAACCATCGTGCCCCTCATCTGCAGATTATCACTCTCCACAATTGCTTCTAGAAACTGTCTGGCCTTGACTGTCTGCTGGTTGGTCATTGTGACCTTAGTCTGCTCTGCAGGTCACTGCTCACATTCCGGTTGGGACACAAGACTGAGCAATTAGGTTGTTGGCGGTGTGCATAGTGTCTCAGCTGATTTTGTCAAAGTGAGTAGTGTCTTCGAGCTGATGTTTTTCCTTTTTGTGTTTTTCATGCTGCTCCTATAATCGCATTGTCGAGCGCTCATTTTTGTTATTTTTTTCTTCACTCCTTTGGTCCATCCGCCATCCTCATGCATTGTATCGCATCTGTTTCCAGGCCAACTATCTCTTAAATAACCGAGTTTTCACCTTAGCTTGCATCGGAAGAGCTCTTAAGAAGGCTGTCTGACGCACAGTCGTGGTAGGCCAATATGCCAGGCCCTTCGGTTGCAGACGGCCAAGCAGCAGACAGTTACCTCTTTAAGCTGGTACTGATTGGTGACTCTGGTGTGGGCAAGACGAACCTTGCATCCCGTTTTGCCCACAATGAGTTCCATGGAGATTCAAAGGCCACTATCGGCGTGGAGTTCCGTTCTAAGACAATGGAAATCGACAACAAGGAGATCAAAGCTCAAATCTGGGATACGTCAGGGCAGGAGCGGTACCGGGCGGTGACCAGCGTGTATTACCGCGGAGCCCTTGGCGCGCTGCTGGTGTACGATATCAGCCGGCGTAGCAGCTTCGACAACATTTCGCAATGGCTCCGAGAAGTTCGAAGTGAGTGCGACAATGGTCTGACATGTTTTTTCATTGTTCCTCTTTTCTTGTTTTTATTCTATTTGCCAAGGTCGATCCGTGCGCCGTACGTTGTGAGCGTTGATAGTTCGTGCAAGTCTGGGAATGGAGGGAAGTAGACGCGAGTCTCTGGGCCATGGTGTCACGAACTACCAACCTGTTTCTTGAACGCATATGAAATACTACTACAGGAGCAGCTGGGAGAACAGTCCCTCGGGGAACCTTGGTGACATTTCTTCAGTGGGTCCTTGGCTCACATTGCTATGCACTCCTCAAAAGAGTCTTTCCTCGCTCCAAGTGAACTCTGGAAAGCGAAGCAGAACAATGTCATCGTGTGCCTGTCAAATTTGTAGATGGGTTGGATCTTTTAGGGATGTAGTTACCAATCCTTGTTGAACTACTGTCGCCAACATTCCCCACAAACAGGCCAAGGGGACAACAACCTGGTGGTCATGCTGGTGGGCAACAAGACGGATCTCGCTCATTTGCGTGCTGTACCTACTGAGAAGGGCTTGGAGCTGGCTGAGCGGGAAGGCATGTTCTTCATGGAGACATCCGCTCTTGACGCCACTAATGTAGACGAGGCGTTTGAGACAGTCATTGCTGAAATCTACAATCACGTCAGCAAACGCCTTCCTTCTCATGGTAGGTGGCACCACTGACTGCGTAGGTAAGTTGTGAAAGTGGTTCAGCTCAGCTTGGCTAAAAGTTGTTCCACAACCCTATTTTAACTCTGTCCTTCCCTTCCTCACGCTCCTTTCCTTCCCCATGCGTGCGACCTGTTTGAGTAGATGAGGAGAATGGGAAGCTTAACCTATCCGGGAAGAAGCTGAACCTTCCTGATGATGGCAGTTCTAGGGGTGGCATGTGCTGCAGCAACTGGGGCTGATAGTGCGGTTTTTCACTGAACAGTTTTTGTTCCAGATAGAATAGTTGGGGGGGGGGGGGGGGATGGGGGGGCGGGGGGGTACACATTTTCAGAGGGGCCTGATAAAACGAAAACAGAACGGAATACAACATGTCAATTCAGTAAGGGTGTTATAGACATAAGTTCTGACATTTGATATTGAGGGGACTGGATTCTTTATGGTTTGCTCCTACCGTATGTGGAGCTGTCAAATCTGTAGTGTTCATTGTGTGCTCCAGTGACAGGGCAACTTTGGCTGTTTTTGGCTTTCTGGCAGTCTGGGAAACTTGCATTTGGCAAACTTCCAAGCTAGTATTGGGTTAATTACATTTATTTATTTCCCCCTCCTTTTCTCTTACTGTAATGGTGAAGATAAGTTACTGTTTGAATGAATCCTTCTAGAACAGAGGACGTCTTTATTTTTGTAATCAGGTACCGGAATAGTTATGTGGTCCCTCGGATACAATACGTAGCTGTAACAGAGTCCCATACCAGGGTGGGTCTTTAAATGAAGATAGGGGATCTGTTATTGTGGAAGGTTTTTTTTAGCACCCTTAAAGCTGTAATGTATAGATATTGTTTTTTTTTTCAAAAATGTGTTATACAATAGTTTTTTAGCTTCCACTTCCAAGTTGGAACAGCAATGAGACGATGCCATTGTTACAACTAAGCAAGCTAAATCAGGTTTATGAGGGCTTGAGCTAGGAGGCGAGAGTGATTAGGCAAAAGAGGAGGTTGCACTAGAAGAGTGCAAAAGAGAGTTACCGTATCGCCCCGGATATAACCGCAGGCCTATTAAAAGCGCATGCGCTTTTATCTGGAGCAATGCGCTTATGGCCGATCCTCATTTAGAAGCGCACCCCTTATAAAATCGTTACTTATTATAAGCGCACCCTCGCTGTAAAAAAATAAAAATTTCACCCTTGAATTCTTTTTATATTGTTATAGCTAGAGCAAGGCAAGCATTCATTAGATTAAATTTTGCACTAGCTACAAATTTCACATATGGTGACTATTGTCCTAGCCTAAACAACATCATATTGCCTAGTCTAGCCTTAGGCCTGCTCTACCTCCTCGTCCGATTCAGGCTCCGTGGCGTTGTTGCCCCAGAACCCGTCTGCTTGTATGTCGTCATCTACCTCTACCTCGTGGCTCAGCTGGCTTCTCCGGTGCGCCATCGCGAGATGGTCTTCGCTCCCGTAAAGGGCATTGCTGATGCCGCACGTGAGGAAGGCCTTCTTAATCAGGTCGGCGGGCACGGCCTTCCACGCCCGTGAAATCCACTTAAGCACCACCGCCGGGGGTGGTTTCTTGATGTTCCCTGCACCACATGAAAGGGAGTGAAGGAACACGTTAGTCCACAAGATGGCAGACAAGCACAAGAAGGGGAGACGGGAGGACATATCAAACTCACCTGCAGGTGTCAGAATGTTCATGCCGTCCGCCTCAAACCAGGACTGGTACTGCTCGCGAACACTAGCTTTGAAGCTCTTGTTCACCGACACATCGAGCGGCTGGACGTCTGCCGTGCACCCCGCCGGGATGACCACCGGCACGATGTTGAGCGCCGCGAATCTCGCCTTGACCTCCTTGGTAAGGTGACCACGGTAGGAGTCGAGTACCAGCATGGCGCTCCGACTCTGCACGCCGAATTTCGGCTTCAGGAACGGCACCACGCCCTCATCGAGCCACTGGATGACGCCCGTGGCCTCCATCCACCCGTTTGCTTGGCAGCCGACCACGACATCTGCACACAAGCAACCGGGGGTTAGAATTCTTTACGGAATTGTTACTTATGTTAAAAACAAGCACAAGAAGATGTGCTTACCGTTGGGAAAGTCGCCCTTCGGCAGTGTTTTGCGCTTGAAGAACACCCACGGCTTCAACTTCTCGCCCGTCGCCGTGCACGCCAGCATCACGGTGACTCGTTCCTTCTGGTAACCACCGCTACGGATGGGCACCGACTTCACGCCCGTCTGCTCCACGGTGGTAGTGGCCGGCATCTCCAACCATAGGGGGGTCTGGTCGGCGTTGATTATGTACCGATTGTCGATCGCGTACTCGCTGCGTGCGTCGCACACAAACTGCCAAAATTCCTTGCACTGCGTCGCCACGTCTGCGCACGGGGAGGGAAGGAAAGATTGGAAGAAGGATGAGTACCGCAGCAAGATAAACATATTCAAACTAAAGGAAACACTAATAAACCATGCGAATTCGCGCGCGATAACCGGGAAAAGAGGCACTTACGTTCCTGTGTTTTCTGCGCCACCTTAGTTTTCATGCGCACGCTGAGGTTCCACCACTTGCAGAACCGCTCCGACCACCGCTGACTCCCTTTCCACTTGACTTCCGGGAACAGCGCCTTCATCACCTCGCGTGACCAATCCTTGAAGCCGGCCGACTGAAACTGCAACACCGCGGCGTCGCCAGTCAAGGAGTTGTGCGTACACCTTCAACTCCATGGGTCTGTACCAAGAAGACCTCCCGCGCCCATGAAGTCGACACCGTGTGGCGTGTGAAGCCTTGAGCTCCTCCGCTTGGGTTTTCCACTCCGTCAGACACTTGCGGTGTATGCCGGACTCCCGCTTGGGTTTTCCACTCCAGCCGCACGAGCCACCTTAGTTTCTCCTGGGCGGTGTAGGACTGCCGCTTATGTTGAGACGGCTTGTGCCTGGGGGAGGGGGGGCGGGCATCTCGGTTCTCGGAGGAGGGGTGGGGTCGTTTTTTGTTAATCGGCGGATACGTCGGTATCGGCATCTTCTCGCGCGGTGCGTCGCGCCACCATGACTCCACACCGTCATCGTCCTCGGCAGATGCACGATCTGGGAACACGTCCTCCTCGGCGTCCGCTTCACCGTCGCCTCCACCGTCGCCGTCGCCGGTGTTTTGTTTATCGGCGGCCACGGCATCGTTGGCGCCCACAGCCGACTCGTCCCACGTGCAGGCTTGAGGCTGTCCCCACCGTGGTGTAGGCGGCGGAGCCTGGATGAACACATCGAGGGTGTGTCAAGTTCAGACAGCCACTCGTCGAAAGTGGCTGGTAAATACAGCTGGAGCACGGGCCGTTGGTGAGCACTCGCACCGATATCTGGCGGATTCGGAGGAGCGGGAGGAGCGGGAGGAGCAGGAGGAGCAGGAGGTGCAGGAGGAGCAGGAGGAGCAGGGGGCGCAGGGGGTTCAGGTGGCACTGGAGGCACTGCTGGCTCACGGGTATACCACCTGTCTTCGGTAAGTCGCCACGGACGAGCATGTTTTTTCTTGAAGAGGAAATGCGTCCCGCTGAATTCCGCCATGGCTTTGCCAGCCAGGCGGCCTAGACTGGAGTGAGAATGAAAGAAATGAGAATGAGGCTGCACAAATGGGCAACGAAGGGGACCCCGTAAGGTTGGCGCCTCGGGGTCCTCGTCAATGACAGGAGGGGAAACCCTCGCCTACCCCCGTAGAGGACCCTGCGTGGCAGCATAAACGCTGCGCTGGCATGGAATCTTCCCCACCCTTCGAGAGGGTTCGGATGAAATGCACATGCCACGCAGCGCATGCGGCTGTGATTGGGCCGCACTGCAACATCCCCGTCACTGCTGTCACGTTCGATGGTTCTAGACAAAATTGTGCGGTGGGAAACCGAACCGCTGCTGTTTTTGCCTGAAAACCATGCACGATCCCACGTGTTGCATGGCCGGTTGAGTTCGCCTTATTGCGGGCTTCAATTTGGTATGTTCAACAGTGAATTTTATTTTTTTCCTATTACAGGCGCATGCGCTTATACAAATGACTCAATTAGAAGCGCACCCCCCTAAAAAACTCTGTTTTATTATAAGCGCACCTGCGCTTCTATCCGGGGTAATACGGTACGAGATAGCAGAATGGATTGTCAAATGACCTACACTGGGGATCTCCGATTGATCCTAGGAAGGGTTACATGCATGTTAGCCTGGGGAGTGATGGTGTTGAAATGTATTTGCTAGTTAAGCTAGCTCCTAATCTTAACATGCTATCAGAGCAGGACCTAAATAAAATTTATTTCGCCATGGCTGCCATCGTTGCCATGGCGACCGTTGCAGCGCCCTTCGAGGCGCTCGCCGTTGCCTGCCCTGCACTGCTCGCCCTGCGCTACTCGTCCCACGCGCTGGTCGCCCCGTCCTGCGCGTTGTCGCGTCGCCTCGCCGCTGGTCGCGGACGCCAGCGCCAGCGCCTCCGACCGTCGCGAACGCCAGCGCCATCGCCAGCGCCAGCAGCGGCCGCCAGCGCCCCCGCCATCGCCTCCGCAACTGCTGCCGCGCTCTTCTACGGTGGACGTTGTGGGGGGGAGGTGGTGGGGCTCGCGCCCGCGGCTACGGGGGTACTGAAGCCCCCTTGAGCCCTCCCGCCCCTCCCTAATCCTCCTTCTCATCGCTGCCCGTGCATCTGCGGTGCGTGCCGCGTTGTGGGGGGGGGTGGAGAGGGTGTGGGGGTGGCGGGTATGTGAAGGCAGCCGCCCCCCTTCTCCTCCTCCTTCCGCTGCACTTCCTCTCCTCCTCCTCTCTCCTCTCCATTTCCAGCTTCTTCCTCCTCCTTGTTTTCTCCTTGCTCCAGTTGTCTCCGCCATTGTAAGGGGGAGGTTTGGGGGGGGAGAGGTTGGAGGGGGGTGGCCGCCGTGAAGCCAGCAGCACCAGTCGCCAGTGAGCCAGTTGCTCCAGTCGCCCGTGGGTCAGTTGCTCTAGCCGTACGAGCGGGATGCTCCAGGCGTACGAGCCCGTTACCCCAGTAGCCCGTGAGCCAGTTTCTCCAGTTGCCAGTGTGCTAGCAGCTTCAACCGCCGCCCACCTCCTCCTCTCCTCTCTCTCTCTCTCTCTCTCTCTCTCTCTCTCTCTCTCTCTCTCTCTCTCTCTCTCTCTCTCTACCCTTCGTGTATCCCTTCAGGGGGTGTTGCTGCACATGGTTCTCACTGTAGGCAGCTAGGGGGTGTGTTGAAATGTATTTGTATACATTTATATACCTGTCTA